GCCATGGAGGACTCGACCGGTTTGCACACTGTTTGAGCCTCACACGAACGATATAGTAGTGTTTTACTCAGACCCTGCCACACGAGCTTCTACAGCTGCTTCCTCGGCGCCGTCCCCCCCTTTCTCGGCAACGAACTGTCACCCCCACCATGCCCGCCTCTAAACACCCCATCCTCATCAACCAGACTCCGCAGCTCCCGCACGTCAGTCGCAGCAACAGCCACCGCCACAGCCTTAGTATTGACATGCTCCGCCGCAAGCCGCACACTCTCCACCGGATCCCCATCCCGGAGACTCTGCACTAATAACAGCGATTCATCCTCCACCGTCCTCCCATCTGCAACTAGAAACACAGACGCATCCACAGCAGTCCCCGTCGCGTATTCACGCAGGAACCGGATCATATCGTCCAATCCCCACCCCCGGAAGGGTGACTTGCATGCAGCGTCAACCGGGGGATATGTCACAGCGTCATGTGTGTATCTGCGCAACAGCGCCGTTCCGGTGCTTTCAACAAGCAGGAGGGTTGGGGGTGAATTGATGTCGATGGCGTGCGCGTAGGCTTTTGTGAGGATGGAGGTGAGAATCTGGGGTTGTTTAGTCAGGGTTACGGTGTGTATTCCATGGAAGGGTCGGGCGGCCTTATATTCCGTACTTGGGCGGGGATGTCATCCAGACAGAATATGGGGATGAGGGATTCGCTCATTTTGGGTTGATGGTGTATAGAGAGTTTGGGGATACTTTTGGTGCGCTAGCGATTGAGTTTAGTACGGGGTAGTTGCGCAGCATCAGTCGTAGTAACGTAGTAGTTGAAGACGTGGTGGTTGGGAGTATACGTACTATGTATGTATGTATGGAGAAAGACAGGTCAAAAAGTTAGGGTCGGGTGGGGCGTAGAGTTAAGCCAAGCCAAGTTAAACTCGAAGCCACATGGGGCAAACGTCCGGGAAACGGGTAAGAAACGAGGGAGTCGGGGAAATTACATACGGGCCGCTTTGGCAATTCGGATGAACAGGATGAAACGGACGACTTACTACGTAGTACACGTGTCTTGGGCTCTCCGTGACACGAGCTGAGGAGCTTTCCTTTTAGGTAATATTGCCACTCGAAGTCTGGGCAAACGTCTGATGCCCAAGCGACATGGATGGGGTGTGAAACAGAGGTTGGCAGGGGCCAATCGAGCTCCTGTTGACGCGTTGGGGAAGTTGACGAGTTAGGGCCTGCTGACACGGAACAAAGATAATCCCTTCGGGTTGGCGCGCTCGACCCGTGCCATGAGAGCCGCTAGACTGTTCTGGGTCTAGTCTGTGACGCGGGGGCTGTGTTTTGGATGCGTAATTTTGTGTGTATCTCTCAATTTCTCGCTCTTGGGCTTTTCTTTCTTGCTTTCTTTTTTTTCTTTTTTTCTTTTTCTTTTTTTTTTTGGTTCCTGGTTTCCTGTGGTCGACCGGTGGAGTTCTTTGTCGCAATGGGCTCACGGAGAGTAAAAGCTTTCGGTTAAAATTGCCCAAGACAAAACTTAGATACAACATGCGTGAATTTTTCTAATTTTCTAGTACTTCTGTAGATAGGGCTTTCCTTCGGATACGGGCACCATGTCGCTGGTCGCGTTTCGCACGGGTGTGTGTGGGCATGGACGGGTACGGGCCGCACGGGTGGTGGCATGGGCGGTGGCATACTGGCAATTCATCGGGACCGGCTTACTGAACCTGTGGGCAAAAGTCGTACATCTAGTTGGGCGTTTGTGGGATTCCTGGTCGCAAGGGAGTGGAAATCGGGGCTGATGCTGCATTCAGGGCAAAGTGTACTGGATCGTCCGGGCGATATTGTTCGTAGAGGGTAGGTATCTTTTCGTTAGCAATGGGTGGGCACACGCAAGGGTCGCAATGGTTGCAATAGAGTCGCAAATGGTCGCACTCGAAAGGGATAGGGCCAGTGAGGTGCAGGGACACCGTCACTTGTTAGTCGCGCTCGGGGTCTTCTCTGTTCTTCCTCCGTCTAAAACCAACTAAGCCGATCATCTCGGACCAGAAGCCCACGGGCGGGGTGGTGATGCTATTCTCATAGGCGTCAATGCTGGGTCGCTCCCAGACGAGGTCCACCTCGTGGGGTCGCACGTAGCGGGTCTTCTTGACGACCTTCCAGAAGATAAACAGGCAGGGCGCTACCAGCTGCATCGTGTAGTTGGAGAAGAAGTTGGACACGCTCCAGGGCGTGAACGAGCTATATCCGTAGAAAATGATCACGAGGCAGTGAACCGAGAGTGCGATGTAGGCGCCGTAGGGCTGGAACCAGCCACAGTAGGGCATCTTCTTGCGGTCAACACCTTGGGCCTGGCAGGCCCAGTAGTAGTTGATGAACGTGACGGACATGCAGAAATAGTTGATCAGACCACCGCCGGTGACGAGGTTGACGAACCAGGTAATGGCCTGGGCGGAGCCGCTGCCAACCTGGAGGAAGGAGAGGAAGGGGAAAAGCATCACCACACAGAAGCAATACACCGGCACGCCGGATTTGTTGCAGTAGCGCAGGATACGAGGGGCGCGGCCCTCCAGAGCCAAACTGTAGAGGGATCGCGTGGCGCAATAGGTATATGTATTGCCCGCGGAAAAGATCGAGGTGAAGATCAACGCGTTGACAATATGCGGAAGCACACTGACGCCGAGGTTCTCCATGGCAATCACATACGGCGAAGCGGCGGCTGTGCTGCTGTCACCGCTGCCAAAGTAGATTTCAACCAGGGCCGGGTCATTGTAGGCGACCACAATGGAAACCGCGAGGGCACCGATAATGAAGAATATACAGAAGCGATAGTATACAGTCTTAAAGGCGGACTTGATGTAGATGCTCGGGCGCTGAGCCTCGGCGGCCACCATGGAGATATACTCGGGACCGACAACACAGAAGCTCGCGCTCCACAGAGCGGCAAGAAACCCTTCAAAGCGACCAAGATCGCCCTTGGTGTGGAACTCAGCGAATGGGCCCGGGTTGTTCCAGTGGCGAAAGCCATAGGCGTCACCCTGGGGATTACCACCCACCATCGTGATGAAGGTGAAGGAGAAGAGGATGAAAATCAGAACGAGCTTGCCTCCGGAGAGCCAGAATTCTGCCTCTCCGTAAAATTTGACCGCAAGGATGTTCAGCGTGCTATATAAATTCATCGGTTAGTATCTCGTTCTAGTAGGTCTTCCACTCGCCTGAGTACAGCAGTCAGAGGCCGACGAGGGCCGTGCATAATGGCAGGATACCATCAAAAGGCTAGATCAGATCGACAAAAGTAGGTCCTTACGCATAGCAAATAATCACAGCGGCACAGATGCCGGCCGTGGGGCCAGGTTCCGTCACCGTCTCATTCCAGAAGGACATGACCAGACTTAGCGCCGTGATCTCAAAGGGGATCAGGAACGCTTCATAGAAGAAGAAATTCCACCCGGCAAGGAATCCAAGAGCATCATCTACCCAGTAGCCAGCGAGGCGGATGAAGCCCCCCGACACCGGCATATAGGTATTCATTTCGGCAATCGAGTTATTGACGAGTGCGAGGACGCAGGAATAAAGCGAGTAGGCAATAAACAGGCTGGCAGGGCCACCCTTCGCAAGACCACCGCCAATGCTAATGAACAGGGCCGTGCCGATCGAGCCACCAGCAGCGATAAGCTGGATCTGACGGTTCCCGAGCCGGCGGTGCAGGGTCCCCATGTTCTCACCTTCATGGATACTACCACCATCCCCCGACGTCGTGGGTTCAAGCTGTGTGGTCTTTTCCTCGTTGAGCCCCATCTTGGCGTTCTGCGATGCCAACGGCGCACGGCAGACGTGAGGTTGAAAGTATTCGGAGCGAAGCCCGGGAGATTAATTCAGAAGATAAGAAAAAAGAGATAAGAGAGAAGCAGGAAAGAGAATTGGCATAGGGTATTTGACTGCGATAAGACCAGAGGAAGAGATGCGGGGGAATGAACGAGCATAATCAAGGAAAGTTGACTTGACTCTCTCTCAGCGTGCCCTATTCAACTGGTGTTGTACAGAAGGAGAATTCTTGCTCGCAGTCAACAAGAGTGGGCGACACTGCGATATTTAATATTAACACGACGCTAGGCAGTCCTCTTTTTTTTTTTATTTGATTTGATTTTATTTTATTTTCCCGGGTCCTGCAGCTAAGCAATGACGCTGCGTATGCAGTTTACCGGTCGTATCTAAGGAAGGTTATCTTGGCCCTTGACCGATCTCTCAAGCCAAGCCCTAAGGCCACCCCGACCACTCGACCACCTCCCTCTCCTGCCCTGCATGTTACATTTCAATCCTGGCTGACTCCCCCATTATTCACAATTCCAGTAACTGGTCACACCCCTACCATCATCCAGGGATCTGTGAGCGCCCATTATGCGCAACAAGAGACGCCAACCGGAGGCTGGCCACTCAAAGCCGTTGATTGCCCCGTGGCCAAGCCGCTTATCGTGTCTGAGAGCCGAACGATCCAAAGTTCGAATGCTAGCGTGCAACAAAGAATGACTGCGGGTTATCTAAAAACGCCAAAGGGTCCCAGCCAATGGTCATATCATGATTTAAGATTTCCCCTCGACGGGACAAATAGCCTCGAATAGGTAAACTGATACGTCTGGAGAAGGTTTACAGGACTGATAAAGAATAAGTTCGAGTGACAGGGTTTACTCCAAACTTCCAGGGATTCCATGAGATAAACCGACTGAGTTCCTGGTAATATAACTAACCCTAGAAAGGTAACCCGTGCCAGGGGCCGGTAAATTAGATACAGAGGCACTGGGTGGATGGAGACCAAGAAAGCAACGTAATTTGAGGGGGGTTGAAAGATGGACCCATAGTATCTTGTCCAATAGCATTGTTCTTGATTGAGTGATAGTGCACACTAGCAATACGAGGGTGTGGGGGACAAGAAATGAAATAAAAAAAATTGAAAAAGCAAAAAACATACAACAGGAGGGATTCGCTGGTGGTCACCCACCCAACTACTAACCTCCCGGCGTGTGGCTTAAGTACGGCTGAGCGGACGGGAAGCCCTGTTCTCCACACCCTGTGGTCGTATGTACTATATTTCTACTTGCAAGATAATATATAGTAAGAAAACATAGAAACCAATGCTTCTCGTCCACAATATCAGTTAAGACAATCATGCCAAGTGGTATATTCCAAATTATACTATATCTAGACATTTCAAAGGTTTATTCAAAGGTCAATGGCATTAATATAGCTCGTCGAGTCGCTTCACCCACAGAGCTGTTATATATTCTATAGTAAATATTTAAGTGACTAGATGTTGGTATCAGCCATGCCCTAAAATATATATTTCGGATGTCAGGGGTAGCTTGGAGATGGTCAATTCCCACTCAATAAACCACATGCACATCAAGTAGAATCTCAAATTACTTTCTATTCTACATAGTTGTAATCGCGTAGACCTCGGGACCGACATCGATTAAGATATGGTCCACCGGCCGCCCCTATATAAATTCTTGTTATAACTTCAGTGGCGAATTTAGGCCATGTGTCCGGACGTTATGGCTGTGATTTCTCTCTTAACTAACCGCTGTGATAGCTGTTACATGTGGCAAGTTTGACAGCTGCGTTGGCATCCTGAGGGTTTGTGTGCCACCACCATGGACAGCCCACTTTCGCTTTTCTGTGAATGGGTTCACTCTACCATCTTAGGGCGGTCTTAGTTTGTGAGAACAAAAAATATTCTAGAAACCACCCACCGCGAGGCAGACTTGTAATGTCTATAGAATCGCCATTTGTGTCAGATTTGTAACCCCGAGACACCCAGTTATTGACTTGCTCAAGAGCTCTTCAATACCGCATGCTGCATTTTCTGTACCTCTGGCAGGCCCCATCTCTGCATCCACTTACAACCCACCACTTCCTCAATTGTCGCTCTCTCGCTTGGTTCAAGAACCAACATCGACTTTATCATGTTATGAAACGCATCTCTTTCCTCCTCTGAGAAGGTGTCAAATTTCTTCCTCTCCCTTGGATCCTGTATAGAGTCTGTAAACCGTTGATTCCAATCCCTGGCGCTGCTGCTATACCACTGACGGAGACTTTCTGTCACATCCTTGCACCCATCCTCATTGAACCAATTGCTTCTTTCCTCCCACTTACTCCACCATCTCTCAGGGAGTCTACCAAGCATCTCCACATGCTCGATTGTAACCTCATCCAATGTGGCAGGGAAGGCTTCGAAAGGGGGCCTGTCTCCGAAGATATCCCAGATAGTGCACGCAAGTGTCCATATATCTCCAGGAAAGGAAAGTGGATCGTCTGGTTCCCCAAGCCCAGCGAAGCGAGATTCCGGTGGTGCGAGGAGGAGCGGTGTGTGAGCTGCGAACCGCCGTGTCACTTGGGGGTGGAACGCTTCTCCAAAATCTGCAATCATGATTCCGGAGTCCACGAGGGATATCTCATCACTACCAAGCCCAAGCCAAACCGGGACAATCAATTCTGACGGAACGCCAGGATCAAGGGGAGCACCATCTTCGCGGATAACTTGCTCTTTTTCGGGCTTGCCCGTGCTAGCATACAGCTTCTCGGGGGTCATGTCCTGCATGTCAAATGGCAAGCGAAGAAGAATATTTCCAAGATGAAGGTCTGTAACCGGGGTTAGATGAATCACACTCCCTGGGTTAAGTGATGAAACCAGGGATCTTCGTATGATAAAACGTACCCCCATGAGCGATGCCCTGTGAATGGATAAATTGTAAGCCGAGTATAAGTTGTGCGGCAATGGCTCGAGCAACAGGCAGATGGAGAAGTCGATGCTATGCAGCATCCTTCGCTTCATGAAGACTGATTCTAGCAGGATCCATAACCAAACACCGATGGTCCCCATTTGGCCCTGAAAATGTGAAAGAATCGAGTAGGTTCTGTACAATCGCTTTCCCTGGAAGATCTGATTTGGCCTTTGCTAGCTGCGAAAGTATTTGCACCTCATGCATTCGATTAGCTGATTCAGCGGTCGAAATTTTGAGGGCAACTAGTCGATTTTGCCGTCTATCTTCTGCTAGCCAGGTCGTAGCAGAGCGGCCAAATCCAAGCTTGTGTGCGATAACATATCGACCCGCACTGAGTTGATCTCCTAGCACTACAGGATGGTAACCTCCGGGAACATAGTAATCCAAGCGCTCAACCTCTTCCACAAAGTTGTACTTGACTGTGCTGGGCTCCATACATGTGGCTATACTCCGTACATTGGAAATCTGAGCCTGTCGACCAGATGGCCAATGTACATAGGGTCTTAGTTTTTGAAACTGAAATGATACAATTCGAGTTTGACTAGCCATAATGCTGAGGAAAGCGACGTGGTTTAAAGTGATGGAGGAAGGGGGCGAGGCGATGTTGGGATTATTAGATAATCAAAGATAAAATATTTCCCAAGTTAGGTCTCAGACAACAAAAATAACAGCTATTCTGGAGCTATGTCCAGACAGGGTTGGCTGTATTTTCATGCATTTCACGATGATAACTGATCTTGGATAGACCTCATCTTTTTGTAAAGAAGATGGATGCCCTAGTGTCGCGTTCTTTAACGCTTCTTAAAAGCCTAAGCCTATTATGATTATTTGATTCGTTATCTTTGATATAGATCAGATTAAGAATTACACATGACACTCATAGGTGGCATGTAAACGTGGTCTTGTAGCGTCGTAGATCCCTGGTAATTATCTATTTTCGATCCCCGTATTCCTCACCCATCTTACATCCTGTCAGTGGCGTCCTGACATAACCATCGTATGCCCTGCTGAACAGAATATAGTGATGTGTGCTTAGATACTTTTACTATATGGTCGACACACAGGTCATCAGACCAGGTATGAGCAGCTCTCCAGGCACTCCTTGTACCGGTCTGTGCGCTTACGAAAGATTGACGAGAAAAACTAGATCCACATATAGTCGGTAGCGGTATATATTCCTCTACTACTCACACAAGCTCTTTCGATACACCTAGAGTAATGATACAACCATCCTAGAAAGCTGTAATCTCTGCTACTGGAAGAATATATGGGTAGTAGGAATTAGACATTATCTAAGGTTATTACTCAGCCCGTACCTTTAGATCTGCAACACATATAACCAGCTTCCCCCTTGCATGCTTGCCAGCCATAACGTGGAATGCCTGTGCTTCGCCTTAGTGCGTCAATCCGTTTAATAAAGGCCATGACATACCTGAACAGCATCCTCAAATAGCCATGTATCTCCTATCAAGACACCTAATTGACCCATCTCACATAGCTTTCTTAACCTTTCAAGCTTGTCCGTACTAACCATAGCCGTAACCTGTCTATACTCCCGGTCTACCCCGCCAGCCCAAACAGGCAGAACTCTATTCAAACCCATTTTCAACAGACATGCGAACATGCCCAAGTAAGTATAAGATTCCAGTACCGGTCCCACCGATGTGTACGTGTGGTCCACTCCAGATTTTAGAATTGCAGGCGACGAATACCACAGATCCTGAGATCCACGGGTGTCGATAATCTTGTCGAATGGTTCGTCTCCATATATCTCCGTCCCAGTAGAGGTAGACGAGCCACCCGAAGTATTGTATACCACAACATCATGGCAACCGAGTGTTCTCGCCACGTCGAAAGAAGCAGCAGAGCACCTACCTACAATACGCCCTTCGCCAGCGACAATCTGAGACACAAGTTGCGTGACGAGGTGTCCAATGCCCCCACTCGGAGCATTGATGAGTACCCGATCCCCGGGTCGAATATCCGCAGCATCCATGAGCGTGAGAGCAGTTGTACCCGAGACGGGTAACCCCGCCGCCTGCGCGAATGAGATATTGGCTGGTTTGCGAGCTATGCAATTCATATCCACGACGAGATATTCTGCCAAGGCCCCAGAACCTTTCAGATGTTGCCCGACGGGAATGGACCCGAATACCGGCGTTCCGGGCGGGAAGTACCGGTGCTCATTATCTGGCTGGGGGTAACTGGGACCTCCTTGCCGGTTGCGATGACCAACCCCGAGAAGTCTGTTTCTGCAATGCCAGGCGTGGTTCGAAAGATGGATGGGACAAGGTTCATCATTATGGTTGTGCCGGGGTGCAGGGCCACATGGGTTATGCGGATGAGTACATCGGTGCTAGTGTTTAGGGCAGGAATGGGGTGCTGTTGGGATAGTTGGAGCACTCGTTCAGCGGAACCTGCGCGAGTAAACGTCCATGCTTTCATTGAAGTGGGGAGTGAATGCGCCATATGTTGGAATATTTTAGCTATATTTGGTCTGAGATTCCCTTGGGGGTAAAAGCTGGGATGTGGCAAGGGAAGGCAGAGTAAGATATACTATCCTCACCTCGTATTTTAACTTTGTGGCTCTTTGTCTCTCTGCCATCACTCGGTTCATTGCTTATCTTTGTGTCTATTTTACGCGACCACACGGGGTAGACAAAAGCAAAAACAATGGAGCTAAAAAGAAAATATAACACCATTAGTATGACTGTTCTTACCTAGGGCTAGTTATGGACATCGAGCTGCTCTTAGGCTCAAGTTGATCTTGTTCTATTAATGAAAATAGTTCTCTGGCTAAGTTGGAACGTCTTATTCCTTAGAGTCTATAGTAGCTTCAGCAAGCAGGCAGTATCCAAAGAGTAGAAGTAACTGCGGAATTTTTAACCGCTAGATATCTCTAGTTTTTCTGATAATATTGCTGGCGATATCGCCTCCTTCTAGTCCACTGTCCTCTGTCCCTGTTAGATAAGAAATCTCACAATTGAAAAATAAGAAGAACCAGTTAATGTCTTGAATTTAACCAGTCTTACCATCTTTTTCGAAACAATAATATCTATAATACATTACTCTTTCACCTCCAGTTTCGCCCCTATACCAGAGTCTCCCTCCATGAGGTAATAGTTCCAGGAGTACACCACATAGGGTGCAGAACCAGCGCGTTCTCTCCGGAGACAGTAGGGGGAACAGCCTTCCACTGTACTCCTTCATTACTACACCAGAAAAATGCATATAAGGCTTTACACTGCCACCGTATTTATGCTCTAGTAGTCAACATAATGACTAGCTCACACTCCATGCTATATTAGGTTTATAGTAAAGAATTCCCTACCCAACATTGGATCCGCTATTTAGGGAATGCAGGAAGTATATTGAGTGCGACGGGTAAGCTGTCATACGTCAATCTCTTCATGCATAGTTTATTTCAATGCCGAAACTATGCTGAAAGTTCCCAAGTCAATTTCAGCATCTATCTGTGAGAAGTTGCACACAAAATAACGACTAAATCAATATCACCATGCCTGAAAGCCGCCCTACACAAGCTATATATCGTCCCACGACAGGACGGCTTTCACAGCCTGTAAGTAAATATGTTAGTTATTATTTTATACAAGGGAAGGGGTTATTCTACAACCCGGCACCTTCTTCTGGATGAAAAAGAAGGGTAACTTACTGATCCTGATTTTAAATCGTCCAATGCTTTAGCTAAACATCGAGTAGGATAGCACTTTGTAAATCGATTAACGGGAAATTTCCTTCATTAAATAATTGCACCAGCTGAGGTATTAACTGGGATACGCCGTCAGTCCAGTTTGTTAACAGAATATAAGGAGACCAGAGAATAAAAACTAGAATACATACGGTCTTTGGATCTGCTCTTCCTTCAATTACACCGATTATCTTCTTACAAGAGAGCAGCAGGTCCAGCGCGTTGACTTGAATATTGGCTGCAGCTGGTGGTACACCAACAAGAGCCAGGGTGCCCTCATGAGCCAGGGCTGCAAGCGAGTCCTGTAAAAGAGACGCCACACCAGTAGTATCCAGAATATAGTCCACACCATCAGGAAAGATATCACGGATACCAGTCGCAAGGCTCTTGGCCTCTTTGGTATTGACTGTGTGCGTAGCGCCGAGGGAGGCTGCCATTGCAAGCTTTGCGTCGAGCATATCCACAGCAACAACCTCCCGAACGCCTATGGCTCTAGCTGCTAGCATTGCAGCAAGTCCAACACCCCCCATTCCAATGATAGCAATCTTAGAGTCGGTATTTGGGCAAAGCGCATTGAGTACTGTCCCCGCCCCTGTCAGATATCCACAAGAAAACGGCGCAAGAAACTGGAGGTCCGACGCCTGTGCGGAGATTTTCACCACAGATTTCTCTGTGACGATGGCCATTTTACTGAGGGAAGACTGTCCAAAGAATTGCCCATGCACTGGCGTGCCATCGGGTAAGGCAATTGGGGATGTTTTGTCTAAACGCGCACTGGAGAGAAAGTTGGTCTCGGTCATGTGGGGGCAGCTTCCGCAGCGGCCATCGAGACAAGCATTGCACCGGCCACAGGTATGGAATGACAGGAGCACCGTATCCCCTTCTTTCAATGACTTATCTGCCACTTCTGAGCCTACCTGGCGGACGACGCCAACACCCTCGTGACCAAGAACAGCAGGATACTGGCCGATAGGCATCCCTCCTTGTTGGACAACAACATCCTGAAAGACCATAAGACACAATGCTAACCATGGTCAGGGCAAGATGACAACGAACCGTATGACATAATCCTGTGTATTTGATCTCTACTAGCACCTCCGATGGTTGTACTTGGTTTAGAATGACATCGCGAAGAATAAACGGAGCGCCTTTTTTCTCGACCACATATGCTTTGGTGGCGATGGGGGCTTTCAAGGAACTCATGATGGATTTGTTTGATTTACTGGTGTCAAAGCTCAAGATAGTAGTAAATGTAAGTAATTATGAAAAAATTAATCTGGAAATATGAATCCTAGACGTACTCTCTGTTTCATTTTGTGTTCGCCACTTTCATTGATAACCTCGGACATTAGCTTCCCAGCGGGCGGAGCCAGAGCCGGAACGGAACCAGCTCCGCAGTGGGCGGCGGAGCAAATCCATAGACTCAAACGTTGCCACAGCGCAGAGTATGCAGACTCATAGAGCACCGGTGTTTCTTTTACTATTAATTTCCTTCCTAAGCGGTCTGCATTCAAGGAAGGAGGGGGGCGATCCACTATGCGGCACGGACACAACACTAGTGTGTATCTGCCTCTATGGAAATCACTTGCTTGGAGGTGTACAAACTCTATCGTAGAGCCTGGCGTAAACCATGCCTAAGCCCTTCTCAGGCATCATTCAGAGCTGTGTGCAAAATGGCCCAGTGTGCAAAGTAAGAGGACCTAAGTATGATGAATAATTGGTTCCGAGCTCTTCATATAGTGGCATACACACAGGGCTCCGTGGCTAGGTCCAGGTCTCCGGAGAGCTCGTAGATATATCTAGCACTCAGAAGGACAATCAAGCTGTACAACCTCCTCTTTCTAAAAAGCGATAGGTGAGTTGTTTTGGCGCCTCGCCGGAATGTGCTACGTAGGCTTTCTTACCCAGCTAGAGTGCTACAGGGAATGGCCTAGCGGATAGGTTCTAGTTGAAATACGAGATTAATCATACTGGTAATTGAAAAGTCTCAGAGTTATAGAGGTGTGGCAACAACCTGGTCGATTGGCTGTTGAGTAGGTCGAGTGCCCGTGTATCGGCTGAATAATCCGAACAACGATGAATGAAAACAGTCTGACAGTATGTACAGCTCATTTGCCCTGGTACTGTGTGTAACTGGTGTGCACAGTAAGATCGCCGGTGCCTTGAGGCAGACTATGTTCCCTGCAGACCTTCATACACTGCCGTCTCCACACTCGCCCATAGGAGACCAGTCTCTGGGTCGACGAATGGAAGTACCTGTGATGCAACTATCCCAGCAACACCTTTTTCTCGATCACACCACCAGAAGACATTGGAAAGCCCTGACCAGTGAGCTGTTGTATCCGAACGACCAGTTACGCTGGGCGAGATCATGAAGGTAAGACCCCATCCCTGTGGCGTGGGACTCGGACAGAGGGGATACAGCTCTTCGCAGGGAGAGACCAGATCGGGTTTCATGGCAGGTAAAGGCTGTCGAGCAAAGTCTGGGTGTTGGTGAATTTGATTCGTAAACATCTCTTTGACCGTTTCTGGAGAGAGGATTTGTTGGCCTGTCTCAGGTGAACGGCCATCGTTAAGGAGGGCAACTAGAATCTCTGCCAGGATAAGTGTTAGGGAAATGCTTTTGGGTGAGTTTTGCAGACCACGAAGGGGGAATGAATAACCTACTGCTGAACTCTTGGATGCTTCCAAACAGGCCTGCGCCGCCGCTGTGGAATACCTCCGCAGCTTCTTTTACGTCTAGCGGCTTGTTTAGCGGGTAATCTCGAGGCACAAGCCGGCCTCCTGCGCTGCGATACCACAAACCTACCAGTCGCTCTTTCATATGTGCTGAAGGGATCATGGAAACGTCGTGGACTTCAAGGGGCGCGAAGATGAATTGTTGCATGTAGTCGTTAAGCTTGATCCCCGTGGTACGTTCGACGAGTATGCCAGCCCAGTCAATGCTGATCTTACTAGCCTCAGTATTGTAACTCTATCATATCCTGAACAAGGGTATTGAACATACACCATATTCAAATCGCTCTCCTGGTTGGTTGACTAGCGGCTGGTAGAAGTCATGCATGTGCCCTGAGAACTCATCGTACTCAGGTATATCGCTGCCATGTTCTAGAAAATATGACTGCAGTTTTTGATTCAGGAATGAATATCCGAATCCAGCTTCCACATCACCGCACAGTTAGGGATGATATACGGGATTTTTGGAAGGACTTCAAATCATATCAGGAAACGGCGTGATATGAATAGTGCTTACCGGTATGAGTCAACAGCATTCTCAATGTGATTCCTCTGCTTTTCTCCACCTTGGTCCCATTTTCCTGAAGGACACAGACTTCTTTTAACTCTGGGCATAGGATTTCCACTTGGTCTGCATCATCGAGCCTAAGCACGCCCCTCTCAACAAGCTGCATACATGCAATGCCGGTTACCAATTTGGTACACGAAGCTAACCAGTATATGTCATGTTCGCTGTCGCGGAGCTGCCGGTCTTGCGCACCATTCTTATGCCCGCCCCCTTTTCGCCGAGTAGAGTGGCTGAAAAGCTCATATGGAGAACCATCGCCTTTGCCGACAACCACGACAGTGGCGCAAGGGAGGCCAGCATTTTCATCTGAACAGGCGTCATCTATGATAGTGCGAAGATTCGCAATCGTCTGAGGGGAGAGTGAAGCGGTTGCCATGTTGGTGTATTGCTAGACCTAACCTTCTTCCATTTCACATACCATCGTATGGTAGGGCTGGGGAGTATATATACAGCTGCCATGGATTAGAAACAAATCTACTTCGTAGATACCGGGACCATCATCCGCCTCGTTTCCCGAGTTCAACTAGGTGGGAACCCAACCTTCCCACCATCAATGACATTGGACTCTATAGTAACGTGGTATAATCCACATGGTTCTCGACTTTGCGGTAGAAGTCTTACGGATCTTTTCGCAGTAGTGCTTTCGAGCTTCTGACTCTCACTTCTATCTCTTTCCGTTGGTGCTTGCGGATGTGGTTCCCTCCGATTACCTTATCACCGGATGCTATTCCGCATGCTGTCGGGTGGGTCGCCAGCGAACTTTCCCCGGATGTCGGTGGCTATTTTATGTTCAATAGTACTACATGTATACTATTTTGTATACCAGCGCTATATTCGTTATGTCCCTGCGGACAGCATACAGTAGCCTAAGGCATTCATGTGTATAGCATAGTATGTGTAACCTGAGCATCTGACCACCAAAGAGCATTTTATCAGCTTGATGTAACTAGCTAGTACTATCATAGAAACTCGAATAAATCGTGACCTGGACGAATTGCAACAAAGTGAAGGGGAGATGCTGGTTTAATTGGTGTGTTGAATGCTGTCTGCTCAAATGATACATATCAAGCCTCGGAGGTGGCCAAACGTCTGTGGCATACATAGGCTAGTATACTTTCAACAACACGGGCGAAAAATAAGAAAAGAGACAAATGAAACAAGAAACGGAAAGGATAACTAATCTCAGTCCTTCCATGTCACAGACTTAGTCCGCACCCATTCACTCAAGCCCTCGCGCGCATTAAATCTCCCGAAGCCACTCCTTTTCATCCCACCATGTGGTAAGGCAGTCTCGTCGTGCACAGTCATGCCATTAATGTGCACCGCGCCACTCTGGATTTGTTTGGCAATACTGAAGGCCCTTCGCAAGTCCTCGGTAAATACCGCAGAGGTCAACCCGTACTCCGTATCGTTGGCGATCTGAATGGCCTCGTCATCGCTAGTGACGGTGATGAGACTCACTGAAGGGCCGAACGATTCACTATGATATATATTCATCGACGGATCCACATTTTCCAGCAGAGTCAAGTGCATTTTAGTTGTCTTATCGGGTATGACACCAGTACTTCTCGAGGCCCTTGCACCTTTGGATATCGCATCCTGAATTAACGTCTTGCTCTTGTTGAGAGACGCCGCGTTGACCATCTGCGCCGTCTGGTCGTGAAACAACCTTGCCACTGCCGCCTTGAGTGCTTCGGAGAACTGTGTGGCCACTTCCTCATGGACCAGGATCCGTTCAGTAGACATGCAGATTTGCCCCGAGTTGAGGAAAGAGCCCAACGCACACTCCGCCGCTGCCAACTGGAGATCAGCATCCGGACACACAATCGCCGATGCTTTCCCACCCAGTTCCAATAGAACGGGCTTCAAATATTTCCCAGCGGTGGAAGCGATGATCGAACCCACAGCGGTAGAGCCGGTGAAATTGATTTTCTGGACCAATGGATGAGAAATGAGTGCAGTCGTGACCGGTGCCGCGTCGCTTTGCCGGTGGTATAGAGTATTCAGGCAGCCTGGCGGCAGTCCCGCCTGGTGCAACGTATCGGCGATTGCCCAGAAAGACTTCGGTGCAGTCTCTGGGCCCTTAAGGACGACCGTGTTACCGGCCGCCAGTGGCAGGAGACATGACCTGAGGCCAAGGATATAAGGCGCATTCCAGGGTGCAATGGCGGCCACAACGCCGTACGGTTCCCGTACCACTAACGCACTGTGTCCTGGTGCCACAACTGTGGGGTGATCCCCTTGGATGGTTTGAATGAGACCTGCGACGTCCTTGCACATCTGTTGGATCAGGTCCCACTCGATGTCAAAGAACATCTGCCCTTCCCCCGTCTCCTGGTTGACATATTCGAAAAGCTCATCCTTTCGCCGCGCGAAGATCTCCGCCGCACGGAGGAAGATGTCTCGCTTCTCGTGTGGCTTTGTGCGAGACCAAGTTTGGACAGCCCTGTTGGCACTCTCTACCGCCACCGAAACGTCCGCCTCGGACGCAGTAGAACACTGGTACATAACCTCATGGTTTACTGGAGAAATCACATCGAAGGTCGACGGCGTACGGATCTCTAGACCATGTAGCCAGAATGGAAGCACTGACTCCTTGGGGTTGATTGGGCCGGCAGCTTCCATGGCAGATGTTGTATGAGGCATTTGATAACGACCACGAAGTCCGGATTGAGGAAGTTCTGGTCATTGTGAACCTGGTGGAACTGAGAGTACCACGAGCCACCTGTTATACAGACCGAACCTTTATCTGGAATCTGATCTACAATGCTGTCCAGTGAACATGAATAAGTGGTGGAGCCGGTACGACATCCGCAGCTGGAACGGCTAACGATCTGACACGGCAGATTCGGGGAAGCTAGAAATGTGCTAAAGCTTTGCAGGCGCTGGCTGGATGCAGAGCCCATGCAGTGACCCATGTTATTGAAGATGCTTTACTGGAAATACTAGTGGAGGATATCGAGCCGCGTAAAATTTGAAACGCTTGAATGAGTTGATTGGTACGTGTTATTCTATACGGATATGTGATGCAAGTTATCTCCTCGGCCGAACCTGGTAATATACATTTTGTAGAAACTTAAAATCATTATAATCATTAGTATCAAATGTGGTAGACTACTTCCAAGCGACGTGAATGGAGGCCACCATAGCTTCCGCCACTGATGATGACTTCACTCATGCGGATGTGGATCCGGATGTGGGTGCGGGTGTGTTCCCGCCGTTTTGCATGGAAATTGATATATGTTTGTTTGTCCGGAAAAACAGACCCCGAGAACGTTGACGTACAGGATGTAATTGAATCTGTATCGATTCAACATTCAGACTCAACTGAGAATTGAAATTCGGGAAGTTTTCTTGATCTGATCCCTTTGCTGCTCACATTAAGATGGCTGGTGTTCCCGGATTACTCGCTGGCAAGGTGTCCATCGTTACTGGGGCCTCTTCTGGTCTGGGTCGCGCAATTGCATTGGCATTCCATAAACATGGGGCGACGGTCGTCTGTGCGGATCGCAATGCCTCGAGCAAGGTGCCACAACAACCAACGCACGAACTCATCCAGGCTGGGGCGGGACAGAGTATCTTTGTCCCCACCGATGTCACAAATGCCGGTAATGTGAAGGACTTAGTCCAAACTGTGGCTGATAAATTCGGTCGTGTCGATGTGTATGCTTCGCGGTTTCATTCAGTGATAATTTGCTGACGGGGCGGCAGAATGGTGAACAACGCAGGCGTTGCTCCGGAGGCATCAAATCCGTGCCCCGTCAATAACACGACGGAAGAGGTCTTCGACTTGACATGGCAGGTCAATGTCCGAGGCACATTTTTAGGGTGCAAATATGCGGGTGCGCAGATGCTCCGGCAGCCGAGGATTGCGAGTCATCACAGCGCAGGCGCTATCATCAATGTATCATCGGTCTTGGGCCTGCTCGGCCTTTCAGGGACGCCAGCATATGCAGCTTCAAAGGGCGCGGTGATTGCCCTGACGCGCACTGTCGCTATGGACTACGCAGCTCATGGCATTCACTGCAATGCAATCTTACCGGGGTGTATGGTTCCCCATCCTTTCCACCCCATGCCTGCATTGACGGCCGACTGACGAGAACCTTGGAGGATATCCAGTTACGCGAACCCCCATGATCGCCTCGATGACTGAGGATAGCGAATTTGAGAATATATTGAAAGAATGCCATCCGCTCCAGCGAATCGGAGATGCGGAAGAGATTGCAGACGCGGCAGTCTTCCTGGCGAGCCGATACTCTAAGGGTATCACGGGGGTTAACCTGTCGGTGGATGGAGGCTTACATGCTCAACTCCGGCTGAAGTGATGCCTTTCATACCTGGCACCCCATACTGCTTTTAGTCAGTCACTGTTCTACCCATTTGGTTCGATTATTTGAATATACCATGGACTTGAGCCGACACGGATACGAGATCTTTATCCCGTGCTGGCCACACTTCTTTGGTCCCCGCAATTCTTCATTATTATGAGATGCTGCGAATTTGAAGTACGTGCAGCAGTACAATCCAATATGAACTTTCTTGTGTACGAGGAGGACGGCCAGTCATAATGGCCACTCCACCAGGATACTAAAGTAGAGTCTGTATATGCCCCATATATCCGTTTAGGAACTATATCGGCCAATTCGGCTGATATACACGATACAACGCGTATGTCTATTCTATATGGACATTGGCATGAATACCCAAAGATTATAGATTTAAGCCTCATTTGTAGTTCTATAGAATAATAACTAGTTCACTAACAACTATGGATTATTGATTAATACTCAATAAAAGCAAGGGCATTCCGGCTGGCTGGTTGATCCGGCCGACGGTCACCTGGTTTGTTTTCCGATCGGTTCGTCAGGGATGAATCCAAGCTTGTCCGTAAGGAGCGACCACCAGAGTTCTTTTCGGTAACGCTCTCGACCGCCTTTTGTGATTTCGTCTACGTTTCTGTGCTGATCGACAGCGAATCTATTTGATTCAACTCCCTCACTCCCTCCGTCCCTCCGAATGCGGGGTGCTACCCCGGGTGGGGAATCTTGCCACTAAGCCGGGCGAGCCGATTTAATCTATTGGGTTTTCTCCCAAGAAGGGTCCGCGCCCCTCTCAAATTATGTTAGGGGTTTCCCCAGAATGCCTACCCGATATATTGTCGCCACTCAGACTCCATCAACCATCCCTATTTGTATGGCCACAAGCACAGGCAAATGTCGCCCACAGAATCCGCTGGTGACCGCAAACGACGTCGAATCGCCGTCGCTTGCAATGAGTGTCGCGAGCGCAAGAGAAAATGTGACGGGGTAAAGCCCGTCTGCGGCGCGTGTGTCAAGAGGCCTTCTCCCCGGTGCGTCTGGGACGCGGGACGAAACGCGAAAGGATGGAATCATAGGTATGGTCATCCCAAGAGTCGAGTTCGTGTGTCACTGACATGCCCGTCTAGTTACGTCGAGTCCCTAAGAGGCCGAATCCAGGAATTAGAAGAAGGACAAGCAATGGCCAATGCCTCACGGTTTGGCCATTCGTCAGCTCGGCAGGCTGGCCAGGGCGAGGCTGCTGGCCCACCCGGACTCTCGCCCCGACAAATCCTTGCGGACGAGACGGATGGGCTTGGACTCCGGACACCTCAGCAATCTATGACATCACCGGAGGTGGTTGGCATGCCAGATGCGACCATGCCGGCTCCAGCCAGTGATGAGCTTTCCTCCTACTCGACCACCGGAGGACTCGCGGACGCCGTGCGGTCAGGGACGCTGGACAGGGGTTCTGTCGTAGAAGACGATGACTCTGACGATGAGTCTGCCATTGATGCCATGGGTGTCTTCGGGTCCTTTGACGATCGAGGGCGCCAGGGATCCAGCTTTTTCGGCTCTGCAAGCACCGTTAGATTTCTCAGCCATGCTCGCCGGGCCATGAGTCAAAATGAGAGCGGCCCAGGCGCATGTCCATCGAGGAGTGGGCTACCCGGAATTTTACAGCAGGAAGGAATTGGGGGAGGAGGGCGCTCGCTGTCCTCAGTACGAACCACGTCCAATTCTAGTATCCGGCGCGGGGAATACCAATTCAGCATCCCGCCACGACATAAGGCCGATGCCCTACTCGATAGTTACTGGACCTATGTTCATTCCCTGTATCCATATCTACACCGCCCATCGTTCACTCAGAAATATCTGACTCTGTGGTCGGCGGCGCCAGACCGTCTTTCCTCCAAGGCCTCGAAGTCTCCGCCAAGTCAAAGTTACTACCGGAATATAGATGAGAGGTTGTTCCATTGCCTACTCAATTTGGCTTTTGCCTTAGGATCTCAGTTCGGCCCAACCACGGAGGACGGCGATCGAAGTCAGTTGGGGTTGACATTCTTTGAGCGCGCTAAAGCGCTGATGGATTTTGACCTCCTCGTCCAGGGCAATATTTTCCTCGTACAGATGCTCATACTGATGGGCCTCTATCTTCAGAGCACTGAAATGGCCAACGCATGCTGGACCATGGTCGGCTTGGCGATTCGCACTGCGCAAGGCATAGGTCTTCATCACGAACCGGAATATTGTGAGCAGGGATGTTGTTCAAAGACCAAACTGAGCCAGCTGGAGATCGAGATGCGCAGACGAGCCTGGACCGGCTGCATCCTCCTGGACCGGTAAGTCATCTTCCTTATGAAGACAGTTCAAGATACTTGGTCTAACACCCTCCAGGATCTGCTCCATGACATTTGGGCGGCCACTGATGATTCATCCCGCCATATCTCAACGCTGCGTTCCCCCGTCTGCCATCGACGATGGCCTTTTATCCCAGGATCCTGACATGCCAGCAGCCCAGCCGGCAAATATTCCCAGCGTGACTGAATCCTACATGCAATGCATCCAGTTGCAAAATATCCTCGGTGAGATTCTTGAGGCTCTATACTATGAAAGCAGTGATAAAGGAAGTGGAAAGCTCGACGTCAGTTTCAATTTTATAGCGGCATCCACAGCCCACGACAAACTCAACGATGGTGGATTACAGGTGTTGCTTAGGCTGGACAAGTCACTGACTTCCTGGTGCCGAAGTTTGCCCGCTCACCTAAAAGCTCAGAACTATAATTTCACGGCTTTGGAGAGCCGTCGCCTGTTCGGGCCGGACACTCCCACGTTCAATCGGCAGGCAATCATTCTTCATGCAAGGTCTGTGTGTATCTTTAATCAGCTTCTGCAAATGATACGTTACTCATATTGCTCAATTGGTAGGTATCTTCATGTGCGATTGTTTATGTTCCGCCTAGTCTTGTCGGCGGCGCTTTCCCATTCAAGTGGCCAGCACACCCCATCGAAGACGGATCCCTCGATGGAGTCAGCGATGCGACAAGACATCCTGGATAAAGGTGTCAATCTGTGTGTGTCGTCCGCCTATGACCTCGTCGAACTAATTACGGCCAATCTACACATCCACAACGATATCCTTCCTCCATCCTGGCACAATGTTTTTTGTATGTGCTCCTAGATCATCCATTGATCGCCGGTTGCTGATCCATCAACTCATCTAGACATGCATAGCTGTGCAATTGTCTTTCTCATCTGTCACCTCTGCTGCCTCAGCCGCATCAAGGATGAGAATGTCCTTACGACCGGTTGGAATAAATGCTTAAGCTTCTTCCGCTCCTATCAATTACGGAGTCGGTCTGCCAAAAGGTGTCTTCGAATCATGGAAGCCGTCCGGGGGGATCCTTTCCCTTCCCAAAAGTGTAGGTCCCATTGATGTGCAGTACCCGAGATGTACCGACTCATTGATAACCCATGCTTAGATCCCCATCCTGTCAACCTTCGTGACAGCTCTTCCAGTCAGTGCCAAAATATATTGTTACAACACGAGGTGGAGTATCCACGACAGTTCTTTTTTGAACCAGGCATGCCCGCTGATCAAACGACGACAAGTTGGATAACTGATCCTGTTGAAATCAATTGGCTCTCGATATTCCCTTTCGTAGAGGGCCTGGATGATGGGAATTCAGGGTTGGGCGAAATTGGCCTCGGACCGGACGCTATGCCAGACCGCCGTTGATTTCTAGGACGACTCCTACGCGCAGTTGTAGTGTTATATGCCCTTGTACTTTCATAACATAAATACCCTCATGACCAATGACCTACCCCCTCACCGCTTCATGACTCTAATCTGATATAACAGCGAAATTACGAATGACAGTTTTCTATTGCACGTTTGGAAAGCTTTGACATTGGAACGAGAGATTAACTATGCACTAGAATGACGGGACGCATCGCCCATTTTCTGCATGTCAAACAGACTCTGCAAGAGGCCACTTGAACGTTTGTGTATAGTGGGGAAGGGAGATGACTGGATTTAGCATGGCTTTGTGAAGCACGTTCAAGGTGGGCAGATTTCTAACGAACAAGCTAGGCCCTTCGTTCCATGGGCCTGTTTTACTTCAGTCGAGGAAACAAGGCTAGCCCGTTCCCACGGTTAATCTTATCAGCGAGGCTTGCATCCTCAAACTGGTAGCTATCCTGGCGTGACGTGTGGTAATTGATGATATCATTGTTCGCATACGGCGTGTCGCTGCCGTACAGGAGATGACCAGGCTTGGCGAATTTCTCCATGACACGCAGCACGTTCTCCGATCCAGCAACCGCTGTGTCGTAATAAAAATTGCGGGCATCATCCAAGAAGGCGTCCTGCTCCTGTGGTGTCTTGGCCAGGATGCTGGTGGGCCGGCCGATCAGGAAGGGCAACACACCACCGGCGTGGGACAAGATGATCTTACAGTTGGGGTTGTTCCGGACTGTCTTATTATACAGCATGTCGAGAGCGGTCTGGGTAGTCTCGAATGGGTACCGGATGACCGGCTGTGCCAGGCCACTGACTTGGCTGATGTCAACTGGGTGGGTAGGGTGCACCAAGATGACGGCCGAGCGACGGTTGAGCGCGGCCCAGATATCCTTGAAGTCTGGGTGACCTAGATAGTGGTTGTCCTCGCCATACCGGGTGAAGAGCACCACACCGTCGGCCTTGAGCACGTCATATGCATAGTCAAGTTCCTTGAGTGCCCTTTCCTTATCCATGAGGCTGGGTAGCGACGCAAAAAAGCCGTACTCCTGGGGCTTCTCATCGCGGAGTTGAGCAGTATATTCATTGGCTTTGCGCGCCAGCCTGGCTGAAGCCTCAGGGTCTTTCAGGATACACGCTCCCGGGGCTGTCAAGGAGAGAATGCTAGTCCCGATGCCAAACTGCTTGTTCACCTTCGCATCCAGCTCGGGCGTCCAGTCCGGAATGAACCAACCGGATGGATCACCACCGCAGCTTTCCAGGGCTGATTATGAAATCTGTTAGACAATGAAACAATGACAGCCTGCAAGATGAAGAGAACTTTCACCAACCTTCACGGTAAAAGTCCGGGACAAAATGGTGGTGGACGTCGATTCTGTTGGTGGCAGGCATTTTTTCTAGGAGAACGGCGATTGGTAAATATCAATGTATCGAGTAAAAGCCCTTGTAATTCTTTCGAGCTTATCAGGGTATTCTCAGTTCCTCGAGATAAGACGATCTTTATAGGTAAAATGCACCACGATGACGTCCGCACCAGTAGTGGCTTCCATCCGTGCGGCACGGCGTCCACCGTGGCCACTGGGGTTTCCCGCAATTCCGCAGTTGTGCCAGCGTTACGCAAACTGTACCCACATAACCGGTGCTGATCGTCGCAGGTTTCCCAAGGGTCAGTAAGAATGCGGGGATATGCAGCCCGGGTTCACATCCGCATCCTCCCCGGATCGTCTGCCGCACCTCTTTCCGGAAAGGCGGCGTGCGGAGAAAGCTTCATTCAACGTTGGGGAGGCCAGACCATGTCATATATAAGACATTGGATCAGTTCTATCATTCTTTGTCAAGTTGGAGTCAGCCGTGACCCAGTTCTACCGTCCATCATGAACCACTACTCCTCTGACCGCGTCCACGATGTGATCATCGTTGGCGCAGGGATTTCCGGCATCAACACTGCCTATCATCTCCAGCGCAAGCTCCCCGAGTTCACTTACTCGATCTTGGAGGCGCGTGAGAATATCGGGGGCACATGGGACTTGTTTCGCTACCCTGGGATTCGATCGGATACTGACCTCCACACATTTGGCTTCGGGTGGAATCCCTGGAATGAAAACCGTGCAATTGCCGATGGGGGGTCCATTGCAAGTTATTTACGCGCATCGGCTGAAAAGGAGGGCATCGATCGACATATTTTATTTCGACATCGCGTTGACACAGCCAATTGGTCGACGGCAAAGCAACAATGGGACTTGGACGTGGAGGTCAAGGGCGGCAAGCGGATCGCGCTCCATGCTCGATTTCTCGTTTTGGGAACTGGATACTATGACTACACCGAAGGGCTTCAACCTGAGATTCCGGGGCTCGCGACCAGCTTCACGGGCACGGTGGCGCACCCGCAGTTCTGGCCCGAGGACCTCGACTATGCCGATAAGCGAGTCTTGATCATCGGCAGCGGTGCCACGGCCATCACCCTTCTCCCCAACATGGCGGCCAAGGCGGCGCAGGTCACGATGTTGCAGCGCAGCCCTACGTATATTATGTCAATGAACAACACGACCGGCATCTCGTGGAGGCACAAGCTACTGCCGCGCAGCTGGTCGTTTCAAATTGACCGATGGATATTCATCTGGATGATTGTCATTATCTACCACTTTTGCCGACTCTTCCCGGAACGATCTCGAAAGTCCCTGCAACAGGCGGTCGCGAAACAGCTTCCCGACCATATCCCTGTCGATCCGCACTTCACACCCCAGTATAAGCCCTGGGACCAGCGGCTGTGCTTTGCACCCAATGGCGACTTCTTCGAGAGCCTACGCTCTGGAAAGGCGTACGTGGAAACTGGTCGCATCAAGAGCATTACAAGAAACACAGTGCACCTGGAGTCGGGCCGACAGCTGGAGGCTGACATCATTGTACCGGCCACGGGATTAAAACTAGCCCTTGGTGGACGCATCCAAATCCACATTGACCATAAGCCTGTCGACCTGGCAGATCGCTATGCCTGGCACTCCGCACTCCTTCAGGACGTGCCTAACCTCGCCTTCATGATGGGATACATCAACGCTTCATGGACGCTAGGGGCCGAGACATCCAGCCACATCTTGTGCCGGATCTGGCAACATATGAAGAAGAACGGCTACAGCACCGTCATCCCCCGTGTGCCGACCGGGTCCGCCATCGAGCCGCGGATGATCTGGAATCTGGACGCGACTTATGTCAGAAAGGCGACACGCAGTATGCCTCGGTGTGGCAACTTTGGGCCATGGAAAGGCCGGTCCATCTATGGCGTAGATCTATGGAAGGCGAAATACGGAAGGATCACTACGGACCTGGAGTTCCTTCCAGCAAGGCAAAAGTCGCAGTAGTCAGAAGCGTCGTCGCTCACTCACTTTCTCACTTGTTGCCTGTATAGCGGAGTCTCTATTATGTATATGATATACCAAATAACAGAGTGAAATGGAGGCCATTCCTTTATTATCTCTGCTTTGCTCATTTAGTTTTACTTTGAATTTTCGTTTCCTACGTTGCATTTTCACCACAAAATGGTAAATATGTCCCTAGCTTCTTTCTATCTGTGTTAGCCATGAGGAAGAGCGAGATAGTTATCTAGATATTTTGTAGCTATGTGGACACGAGGATTGGTTGGATGATACTAGTATATAGTGAAGAACAAATGTATTATAGCGATAACAGAAGATACTAGTATACATAACGATGGGGTAAAAATACCGCTGCTCTACATAAAACCATCTTACAAACTGTTATAAGCCAGAGGTATGCTACCCAGTAGCAAGATACCAAGCTCATAGCATGTGCATAGGATTCCAAGGGTATTACTGACTGGATCCAATCACATGACCTACCTCCGCGCGTTTTCATCTGGTTGAACATTTCGGATGAAGGAAGCTTTCGAGGCGGAGTCTAGCCCGGGATCAGAGGGACGGCTTAGTGATTCTGCGGAAGGCCATCCGCCAAGGTTCCCATGGATCCCAGTTCCCCTCCCCCCGCCGGCCTATTTGGATGTACATTCCGCAATCCTCTTTGCGGGGAGCCGCGGATCTGGGGACCCCAGGCTTGTCATATCTGCATTTCTCTCCAGGATGGGGCCCCGCAATCCCCAGGCAGAATGTATATTTAAGCTTGAAGCCAGAACCACACTATGCGAGGTCAATAACCAGCTCAACATCTTCTCTCTCTCTCACTCAGAAGCAAAGCTTGGATCATTCCAACTATATCCTACCCAAACGACTTTATCCTTCAATTCCTCTCCTCCTCTCCCATTTACTTTTCTTATATTCAGGACACACAGAATGACTGGCCCAAAGCAGCTCAGTCATACGGCCCTTGCCGATGGCTTCCTCTTCGGCGAGGCGCCGCGATATAAAGACGGGCTTCTCTACATCAGCGACATGACAGGCCGCACCATAAACACCATCGACACAAAGTCAGGCGAGAAGAAGGTGCTGTGCACGGTAGAGAACCAGCCGAACGGCATGTGCTTCATGCCGGACGGGGCACTGATCTGGTCATCCATGTTCGACGCCAAGCTATACCGCCATGACTTCTCGACCGGCAAGGACACGCTGTACGCCGACATGTCCGGGGTCATGACGGGCTACTGCGGCGACATGACGGTGGACAGCACGGGCCGCGTGTACGTGGACGACACAGGGGCGCGGGTGCTGCACGGCGAGCAGCCGTGTGCGGGTCGACTGTTGATCGTCGAGACGGACGGGTCCGTGGACGTGGCGGCCGAAAACATCATGTTCCCGAATGCGCTCTTCATCAGCAACGACGGCGAGACCATCTACTGCGCCGAGACGTTCGGGTACGGCCTACTGCGCTGGGATATCGGCGCCGCTGGCCGTGTGACCAATCGTCAGAAAGTCTGGTCGCCGGCCGTTTTGTCACCCTCGGGCCAGACTGGCCACACTGAATCGCACGGCCTCGTGGGAATTGATGGTGGATGCATGGATGCTGATGGCGGCATGTGGCTTAGCCTGCTGGGCCTTGAGAAGTTTGTTCGTGTTGACCAGCAAGGCTATGTCACTCATGAAATTCAGGTCTCCGGGCATGCTACGGCCTGCACGCTCGGTGGCCCTGATGGCAAGACCTTGTACTTGGTCACCAATTGGACCCCAGAGCATGAGAATCTCTTCACAGCGATGGTTGCCAAGCAGACCAAGTGTACTGTCAGCTATGCCCAGGTCGAGGTTGGGAAAGGCACGGCCAGCCCGTAACGGATGCTGCATGTTGGATTATATTCTTGTTTGGTAGTAGTTAGGTACAGAAGTCAGCGATCTTTTCAGTTACTCTTACGTGCACACCCAGCGGTTAGTTGTGAGAAATACAGACTTTTGTTTCAGACAATCTTATAAGCATCCTATACAGTAGGGACATGGGTCAAGTTGAGGACTGTATGCCCATGTAGAACGATGAAGAGCTCTGTATCTATCCTTAGCGGAATCTAGTCATGCCCTCTCAAGGTGAGAGATATCGTGTCGGAGAGTCCTTCCAAGAAGCCACGGGTGTACTAACTTTTAGACAGTTTCAGAGGGCAGCAAGAGACATGCCGTCCGTCATTCAAAAAAATGAAAAAAATAAAAAACATACAACAGGAGGGATTCGCTGGTGGTCACCCACCCAACTACTAACCTCCCGGCGTGTGGCTTAAGTACGGCTGAGCGGACGGGAAGCCCTGTTCTCCACACCCTGTGGTCGTATGTACTGGCTCTTTAGTTGAAGGACGTTATATAGCATTAAGGGACTCTAGTAGGACTCGGCAGCAAACGGTCCACTTTCTTTTATGCGTTCTACGGAGTATTTCACAAATAACCCCTCCCACCAGACTTTGCTGCAAAGTTGACATTCTTCTCTGTCGATATAAATATATTTTGTGAAGTACTATCTCGGCACAAAATCTTTGTCGTGAACAAGTAAATAGAGTTCAACGTCAATCCCAACAGTAGTAGTATTTAAAACCTCTTTTCCTTCATCGTTTGGTCGGATACCCTCACTGCCAGGTGGCTAGGTAGTAATTACCTACTTGGCTAACCGCCCTCTTTTATCAGCAGTACAGAACTAGGGCTGGGTCTCTGGCAGCGGCTGTAGCTAGATTAAATAGACCTAGTAAACCAACGAAGTAAGTTAGTACAGAGTGGCGGTATCGGCTTTGAGCGTTTGAACGCGTACATCATCTATGGCGGTGATTTTTGTGCCACCATTTTGATAAAGGATTCACCATCATTCTCCCTCCAAGCTGGTCTAGATGAATCGAACTCGTTCGGCCTTTATATGGGCTAGTACACTATTGGATTTACTGGTGTTTTCGGAGCTACGGATCATCGGATGACCAGCATGATACTGGACCCCACGTGCCATTGTTTTAACGGAAACCCACATGTCTGTTCAATTGGAACTTTGGATATCGATGGAACGACACCAAATAATTTAAATCACGTATCGTTAACATTGATCCCGGTTTGCCACAGGTACGTGTTGGTCCTTGGAAGACTTGATGTCGTGGCTTGTGTGCCAACTGAATGAAGTCAACTGATGATTGCATTAGTGTGTCGGCCAGAGAAATAGCTAATGTGTCCTCTAAGGCCAAAGGAGTAAGTGGTATCTTTGTACAATGAGGTACTTGATGAACTAAACCCTATACTTCGAATGTATCTTTACTCTTGTAATATTCAGGCAGAGCCCATTTCACCATCCAAGAGGACTCGAGGACGTGCTTAGCAGTAGGTCGATCCTCAGGTCTAAATGAGAGCATAGATCGCAGCATCGAAGAAATGGCATGCTTTTCCTCCTCATCAAACGGTGCTATCCCGCACTCTCGTCTCGGCTGCTGCACACTGTCGTCGAAGCGCGTTTCCCATGATCGAAAGGGGTTTCTATTTATCGGCCTACCATCCTCGGTGAATTTATCCTGTCGTGCTTCCCATTTCTCCCACCATTCGGGTGGCAAAATACCAAGAGCATCAACATGTTCGCAGGTCATATCATCCTGCGTAGCAAGAAAGCCTTCAAATAATGGCCTCTGGGCGACGATGGCCCAGATAGAGCATGCAAGCGTCCAGATATCGGACGGGAAGGACAAAGGTTTGTTTGGTTCAAAGTGTGCCTCTGGGGGACGGATTACAAGGGGAGTCTGGGATTCATATTTCTGTTCTTGTGAAGGTGCAAAGGCTTCGCCAAAATCGCTGAGCATAATGCTGGCGTCCGCAGAAGAAATCTCCTCACTAGCCTTCCCAAGCCATGCTGGCGCAATGCCATGAGAGGGGACACCCGGTGGAAGCGGTTTCCCGTCTAATGGAATCACTGGGTCCAATTCCGGTGCTCCGTACTCTGCGTATAACCTTTCAACCGACATTTGGCTGAAGTCGGGTGGCATTTTAAGAAGAATATTGCCTAGATGAAGATCTCCATGGACGTAACCCCGAGCATGTATGTGCTCAACAGCAGTCGCCAGTTGCGCAGCCAATATTCGGGCCACATGGGGCTGGAACAAGCGGATCCAGGATCCATCTTTTACATCAGCCAGACTAGCTCTGGCTGGGATGGTCACATAGCAACTATGGTTGCCATTTGGGCCTTGGATGTTGAATTTATCTATGATCGAAGGGATCATTGTTGCGCCCAAGCATTTGACAGACGCATGCTGAGAGCCAGCCAGGGTTGATAAAATCTTAAATTCCTGTGACTTTGAATCTGCAGTGCAGACTTTGATCGCGACATATTTCCTGTTTTCGTCATCGTGAGCAAGCCACGTAGTAGAATAGGAGCCATAGCCTAGTTTATGAAGTATGCGATAGCGACTTCGGAACTGGTCGCCAATCTTGACGGGGTGATAGCCTCCTGGTCGATAATTCTCCAGTCTCTCTACTCCTTCAAGAGATTCATACAACGGTTCAAATGCAACGGCTTTAGTGGGCGCCATGATGTTGAACGTGGTGACAGAGAATGCACGATGGAACTGGTCGGGACAAAATGGTTGACAAAGTGACTTCGGTGAGAGAAGACAGGCGGGTATTGAAGAGGGTGGCCGTCTCAACAACGAACGATACATGACCAATGTCGTCCGTAAAGTATCGAGAGCATTGAAGGAAATACCTCATTCGCTGCCACTTGTACCTGTTGACGCTGTCCGGTTGCAGTGCCCAGTGGTTATTTAACGCCAGTCTGTTTGTTCTCCCTTCCTGGAAAGACATTTCCCCGCTCCGGGCGGGCATTTCTTGCTCCACGATTGGCCCAGGCTATGTTGGCGCTAACGCTCTACCCTGTCTAACCCTAACAGATAACAATGCTGGATGGACTATTGGCCTTTTTTCCTTTTCCCTTTTCTTTTGTTTTATCTTCTTTGTTCCACATCAAGGTGCATATAGCCTCGCTCGCAGATGGTTGGCCCCTGGGTCCCAGATCTATTTTGGTAATTATAGGGAGCGGCAAAATCGAGGATTGTGATTGATGAAAGTGCTTTTGCTAGGCGCTAACACGACTACAGCGAAGTTTCTGTCAAGATCTAGAGATGAAAGGCAGCCTAAGAAAATGATGGATCCGAGGTACACATTGCCCAGCCGGGCGTTTGTCTATAAAGCAGTGATGGCCCCCGGTATAGGCCTCTGTATGCAGCGCGTACTGCCTTTCTTCGAGAATCGCGACTCTTCCACCGCCAATTATTTCTTTCCACTCAGCAAACATGTCTACAGTCAACATGGTTAAGTACTTTTTCTACAAGGGCATGGTGCCAAAAGACCAGGATAGGTTACACAAGCTAGTTGCTCTGGCATATCAGACAGCAAGAGACCGCAAGCTCTATCCAAAAGCAGTCCTCATTCGGTGCGGATCTCCAGTTACGTTGAGCAAGTGAATTCCAGATTCTAAAACATAAACAGGTCGGAAGTTCACGATACAACCAGTACCAATGGTATCCATCAAAAGGACCCCTTCGGCTTAGTATGAAGCTTCCATTTTCAGGAGGATGTCCTGAAATTAACTAGGGAAATCCAGAGGGGGGCGCCTAATTCAAGCTATTTGATGCAGCCAAACTACTACTGAATCTAACTTGAGCTAACAGGATAACCGCAGGTCAGTCGGTGTCGAACTAGGATGAACCAGTGGACCTACTTGATGTATTGATATGTTACACGAGGTGTAGAATATAGTGTCAGGTACGGTGGACTAAATCGAGCCGATGGACAATAGATCGGATTTTCGGATTTCTGACCAAACTCTTAGCGTTTTACATAAAGCCACGCATCTTCGAAAGATTTAGTGTCTTACCGCCCCGAACCTCACTACTACTAGTACCCCTGGGACTAGGGCCGTTACAGACCTAGGACTGGTATCCCAAATTATCTAGTGCTGACGCCCCTAATAATCTAAGATACTCTCAAAGCGGTCAACATCTCGGAACCGGCCTAGTCAATAATCTGAAATTCTAAGACTAATTGAGAGTATATAATTGGTTTAAACCTAGGATGAGACCTAGTAAATAGATATAATTGGTCAATAGAATAGTTGTTTAGTCCGCCGTACTTTTCCCCGCTCCGGGCGACATTCCTTGCAGGCGGACGCAATGAGCAAGTAGCCAGCTGCGCGCAAGAGTCATTCAACGCTGAACTGAAGGGGGTTGGTTTGGCAGTTCATGTGCCCTTGATGGTTAAGAGCATCTCTGGAGAGAACATGCCGCGTCGATGGACCACCACGCGGTGATCAAGGTACCGTACACGAATGCGGGGACTAGTATCGATGCCACTATTGGGCTAGATTCTTGGGCCGGAGGTAGCTTCGAAGATTGTCATCGTGCCAGCTTTAGACGGAAAACTATGGTTAGTATCTTCTGCCTTGATACCAAGTTTTATGTAACAACTGTGAAAAACGGGGGACCTCGGTCATTGAAAGTGGTACGTCCTGAGCAATATAAAATTGGTCTACAACAAGATCAGTATCTATTGTAGCCTCTACCACCGGATGCTCGACCTCAAGTCGGGCATCAGTTTCCAGAAGAAGAATGCTACTATTAACCCTGAAACGAAGGTTCGCGGTATCGATACTAGCACATCGCTACAGCGATATCTCACCCATATGGCTTGTAAATATGTCGACATACGATAGCAAAATTAGTGCTTCTTAGAAAGTGTTCCCTGCTATGTGCAGTGGAATTCGCAGCGAGACGTTGCAAGTTACCCCTACGGCAGAAAGGTGCCTCTAATTTGAACGCAATCATTTCATTAACGCAACTAGGCCATACTAATCATGTGTCAAACTTCCATCACCGGTGACTTGGTCAAGGCTCACTGCTTAGCTGTATATTATTCGATATTTAAGTCTTCTTTGAGCTACCGTTCGGAAGAGATAAACTCTTGGGAGTATTCGATCTCCTTTTCCAGGGCATCCGCCCAATAGTGGGACTGGCCGGTTCTTTATTCATTTCCCTTTCGGCAGTAACCCATGGAGATTGTGAACTGCTTAACTGTGTAGAAGTAGTATATGCAGTGATTTCCTTGTTTTCAATAATAGACAGTCGTGGGAACACAGCCAAGGAGATCTTGTTAGGATTCCTTTGGTTGGCGTTTCTCTCGGTGGTCGTCTTCTCGGTACTGGGAAACGTGAAGGCATCGCAATCATCATCGGCGGCGGGCGGGTCAAAGTCTAGCTCATATCTGCGTTTGCTGCGCTGGATCGGTTTCCAGACAACTGCTGCCTTCTGCACCACTTTGCTCAGAGTATTATAGAAAGCAGGGCGTTGGTCTTCCGGGAGTAACTCATACAGATATTCTGACACATTCTGCACCACAGTTTGAATGCCCACCGAGCAGAGACTGTCTTGAGTTGGTGGGTCTAGCGACAGAAGAATCGATCGGCAATACGACTCTTTCTCGCTATCGATGGCCGCCTCGTTGGCGAGAACTTGTCGAAATGGGTGACACATGTTGTCGACGGGTGCGATGTATACCGGCAGGAAGATATGCTTGTTGATCTCTCTGGCTAGGATAGCCAAGATGGTAGCAAGCCTCATCTGCTTCGCCGCTGGTGTGTTCGAACATGGAAGGGGAATTTTGTGCTCTCGTGCCAATTCACGTTTTCGAAGCTTCTCCCATGCTGAAATATTCTGCCATTTCAATCCATTGGGTTATGTTAGTCTTCTCTTCCCTTTCTCCAGTTGCACCACGACAGCTACTTACCCGAAGACTCTCGTCAGGAAGGTCGTTTCTCAGCACGGCGAATATTTCAATTTTGGCAGACTCCCAAAGCTTGCCCAAGCTTTCAATGCTAAAGGAAGTCAGACTTTTTGGTGAAGCCATGCTCCCATATTATATGCACACTTACACTGAGTCCTCAGTTACTGCACTGTATTTCACAGCATAACCCTGCAATTTGTTGAGGCTTGCTTCGGTTGCCTTCAGCGACCCCTTGAGGACACTAGCGTTATCTTCCAGTTCCTTGACCCTGTTCTTGGTGGAAGTGAGTTTATCTTTCAAGCTCGCCTCCGTTTCTCGCATCTTGTTAATGTTAGTGTCTTTTTCTTGAATGGTTTGCTGAAAACTATTGATCTCCCTTTGAGCAAGTGCCAATTTTTCCCTTTCCTTTGCATTGTCGGATTCGAGATTCTTCAACTTCTTCCCCAGCTCATCTACCACCTTGTCCCGCTCAGAAATACATTTATCCTTGTCACTAATGAGCGTTTTCAGCGTCTTCACATGATCTTTTGTTTCTTGGTGTCTGCCCTTCTCCTTTTCATGAACCTTAAACACTTCGCCCAAGGCCGTTTCATGCTTCCTTTCTTGATCGCTCATCTGATCTTTGAGGGTTACAATGTCATGCTCTTTAGACTTCAACTGGTCGAGTAGCCTGTTGTTTTCATCATAAATGCCTACAATGGCATCAAATCCCGCATTTGAGGACAGCATCTTGAGTTGATCAAGAAACGCTCTCACGACATGTTGGTCAGGGCCTTTGGGCGAGGGGATAGAAGGGGGAGTCAAGGTTTTAGAAGGCATGCTGGTTGCCAAGTCCCAAGAGAAGTCGAAAGAAACCAGTAGATAACAATGAAAGTTGCGCCGTCGCCTGTTCAGTCGAAGACGCGAGGCTTTAGGCACTGCATCAACCCATCGGGAACCATGGGGTCAATTTAAGTCCTGTTGTTTTCCTCTTCATGGAATGCCTCGAGGTCTCATGGCCTCATGTCCACCATTTCGCCTCACTCGGTGTCCCAAGTGTCGACGTGGCCGCCACTCTGTGGCCATTGCAGAAGGCAAGGCATCATTCAGGGATCACATATCTGCTCGTTGGACCAGAAGCCCTCATCTGGTAGTCTAAAGACAAGGCTGGCAAGGCATCAATTCCATATCCCAGGCAGCCAGTGAAACAAAGACGCACGGATCTCTTGGTGTGCGCGCGAGTCATGTCTTGCCTGCATGCAGCCAATCGCAGAGAGTAGATACTACGTGTCGTCGTGTGCCGCAGCGCGCGCTTCGGCCAGTGCATGAACTACCGCGGTAGCATCCCTCCATGATACCCTGGGAAGACGAGCGTTGTTCCGTGTTGGTTTGGTTGGACGACTTGTTCATTGGGCTCTTTAGCACCAGCTACCGCGAATAAAGGTTTGGAGAAGGAACTCTCTGGGCCGATCCGTTGTGGTTCCTTGGGCGATCCTTTCCCCACCCAGTGCTTTTGGGCACCTGGAATGGGTACTGTTCAAAGGCAAGACCAACAATAATGTCTTGCCCAACTTGGGGGGACTTTGGGTGCTCACTTAGCTCATAATTCTACAAGGCTTATTGTTCTCGTAGTTAGTCTATTGAATTAGTGGTAAGCATTATACTCTGGCGGCTGTAGCTCAGAGAGTATCGGAAAAGAGCTTGCTCGAGTAATTAGTCCCAGATTGCGTGATTTTCTATTTTGATGGTATGCTGTCATGCTTGAAAACCCTCTATGATAGGTGCTATCGGGGTAAGACATAAATTCTACGTTAAGCTGGTTGTCTACGAAAGCCTCGTTAGAAGGCGGCATCCTCTACCAGCACGTCCTCTGAGCTCAGTAGCGTAGCTATACGGAGCGTCTTATGCAACTTACAATACTAGACCTTTATTCTCCCCTTAGGATGTGTCAGCCACACCTCCATTGTCAAATTATCCCCATATACATGCTGCTAACGGCATTGGTCATAATGTATGCCACATTTGTTCCATGCGCGTCTGAGTTCTCAAGGCGCATCAGCAACCTGTCACTAAGGTCATGGGGGCTTTCGCTGAATCCGAAGTTTTGGTCTGGACTGGGATAGAATCCCCCCAAGGCTCAGATAGACGTATTGGCAAGTGAATCACGCTGTCGCTTGGGTTATCAGGCTTTCTCTCGAAAGATCGTGTGTTCTATTGTTGTACCCAAGGTGGAGCTCATACATGATATGCAGTGCTTCAGGACGCCGCTGTCACCACGTCTATCGGCCCCTCGATGACTTCGACAACTGTCGAGTAAAATGAAACTAGCAGAATCCAAACGGGAGAAGCAACAACGACAACAACAACAACATCCGTACAGCCCACCCTTTCCAAGATACCCCCAATTCCAGCAAGGTCGTATTATTTTTATAGTAACATCCAAGCTTTACAATAATCTTTCGGCTGGTGGGATGACGGCCTGAGCGGGTAATCTTTTTGCGACGATCAGCCCACTTGATATTCGATTGATGTTTCCGGAGCCTTATGCATTATACCACTCCGAGGAACTAAATATGTTCGTGAATCACAGGTTACTGGTACAGTGGTCATCATAGCCGTTTAACCTCTTCATATGCGGTACGGTTCTGGACTCAATATCGGACTACTGTTCCATCGTTTTTAGCCATGCTTAACCCAGTCGTGTCTCTAAATTAGCCCTCGACTGGGCCATTGCGTCGTCCATCCTTGGATGACCTACTTGGATCTTACATTAAGTATATATATACAGGAAAAGTCATAGGTCCGACAAAAGCTACTGGTCTACTCGGCCTAGGTAGGTGTAGACAAACGAGATCGCAGGGGAAATGTTCGTAGCTGTTTTACCCTAGAGCAGATCAGTGAATGTAGATTGTGTAGTAAGGATGAGAAATAATTAATTAGTTCATAAGCTTTTTATAATTAGGGATTCAGGATAGCGCGCTGGGAATCATGAAGTCATCGTTCTATCTAGCTAGGTAATGGATCCGGAGCGGGTAGTAGAGCTATGTTACATTCTTGGCCCTTTACCTGAACCACCGAACGCGGCTGAAGGGCTTGGAAAAGGTACTGCGATTCAACAGCCGAGAGCTTCCTGGCTAATGATATCTGCAATACTCTTGTCAGAACGGTGATATCCCGGTTCTTTTGATAGAGTTGTATATAGGCCTATCCAGGGCAGTAGGACTGAATACTGATATAAGCCGGACCTCGACAGTGGTATAGACATAGATTTACTGGATTGCAGGTAGAGATACAAGTCTAGCTATTCTATTTATTCGAGAGATAGTTAGGCCACCTCTTAAAGTTGTATGTTCGATTTGAATCTTCAGTATCGGGACCAGATGATCGTGGGGTATTCAAAAAATAGTTGACTCTATTAAACGGAGTGTCGTCGGGAGAAGACTTTATCTGGTTTTTAGAGAGGCCCTTTGATAGGACGATGTGGTCAAGAGTAAAATATTGGAATTGGCTGAGGACTGGGTATTCTGTAGGGATGGTAGAAACCCGGGCTGACCACTCCAGAACGGCCATAAGCATCGCGATGGCGATGGAGGAAATAAAATGTGACAGCTGAAATGCCGGTCTCGCCTCGCAAAGAATATAGAGCAATCAGCCGGTGAGGAAGATCATACCGAATTATATCCATGATTCTATGTACCAAACGAAACAGGCAATAGAGTGTTTGCAAAAGCACCTATTGTCTACATATATGGCCGAACTACTAATGTTTCATGAGTTTACCAATTGCTGTATCCACTCTTGTACGGTACGGGTTTCAGCAGAGTAATGATCGAAACTCCTCCGGCCCTCCGGTATCCTGCAGTCCTCCCAGTATCATTGCCCTTGCATTGATTTACTGTGTTTGTCTGGCCAACAAATAGATTCCTCTTGTGGCATCAGGAATGATATGCCAACGCTACAACGTGATGACTCATCCATTCTTTTCCGCGGAGAACTTTGTATAGCCTGGCTTAATCCGCATTCAGTTACTGTTACATCATAGATGACCCAACAGTTGGGATAGAGCCGTATCTTCAGTGCCTCACATGAGGGCACTGTCTGAATAACAGCCGAATAACCCTGAGAGTTCATATTGTAGATATCTGCGACCGGTTTGCTCCGGCTGTAGGAATACAATACCCTCACTGAACTGTTCAGCTATATCCGGTAATCTTGGTTCCTTGAGCAGCGATCCTGTCTATGCGAACGGAGGGAATGTAACGTAGCTCCACTATGCCAATAGGGTCTACAGCCGGCCCTACGATGTTTCCAACGTCTATGAATGTGCGAAGATATGCTTAGAGCAGGCTGGGTCCAACCCTCCATGTTATGCGGCATCATGGAAGTCGCACCCCAGCGTAACGGGCGGCGGAACCTGCTACCTTTCTAGAGCTGGATTCGAAGAACATCCCGACCAAAACGGCGAGTGGTTGCTACTGACCCGCACCGACTGGAGAGACACAGAAAGTGATCCAGATGATCAGACCCTAGCCAACTGCCTTCTCACGAAAGCCATTCTGGAAGGTGAGAAGCAGACCGTGGAGGGGGAAAGAGATGCCGCTCTCGCCCGAGAGAAAGTGTGTCTATCCAGTCAGAAGAACTTGGACCAGATGACCAGCGCACAAGTTCTCGAATACTATCGTTCCAACGCAGAGCAAAGGTGTACCAAGATGCATGGGACCATAGAAACGATCAATGGTGTCAAGTTCAAGGTCTACTGTAACTATGCCATTTCCCCAGGAGGCCCCTCACATTGGTATGCAGATAAAGCAATGTCTCTGGAATCATGTATGGACCTCTGCTCGAGGGTTGATTGTATCTTGGCAAGGTTCGATATGCGCGCCTCGCAAGCCACGCACAGCAATCGCTGTGACATTACAAAACGAAGCAGCAAACCCAAACTATTGCCTGAGTCAACCCCCGACAAGATCAGTCTTGTGTTCCAGAGGCAGTAGGAGTGGGGGCTATTTGGATTGTGGAATATACTCCAAAATATGTGCCGGCTTATTCGATAACTTGAGAAATTGGTCTGGATTGGCTCTCGATATCGATGCAATCTATTCAGTAGTAAGGCAATCCGTGGACTTTTGAATCCCACAACAAAGGGCACTATATATAAGGCAAGGATAATTGAAAATGTGATACATTTGTGTCGAGCAAAGTGCGAAGTACCACTTGTCAAGACAGTTGGATAGGAAGAATGACTCAATATTCCTTCGCGGGCCTGCAGTTATAACTCTCGGTTTATAAGATGTATGTGGTGAGAAATAATTTAACATTTTCGTCTCCTCTTTCTCTTCTGTCTCCCTTTATTTTCTTTGCTCGGGGACATACTGGGGATCGGCGTAAACGATGAGCAGCATCCTACAAACACTAAATAGCAGGTTCTACCAGAGGGAATCCACTCTGGTATGGGAGTACACAGTAGGAAATTTAAAATAGAACAAAGAGAGTCGGCCTACACATTTTTCTGTGACATTTATTGACGCAATACCTTGAGTTGGGTCCTTTTGAGCCAGAAAATTCATTCACTCGATGCACTTTTAACACGCCCTAGATACCCTGGCCACCCCAACAGCGGCAAACCGAGCAACTTCCTACTAAAGCTTCCTTTGCTATTAATCCTCATAGTTGGGCGTGGTGGGCTCCAGAGGAAATTACAAAAGATATATGAATGTCATCATTATGTAGAATCATCCGAGAACCATCTAACCCTCTGAATACCTCACCCAAAAAACAGCTCATCTTTACAACAGAGCTCCGCCGCACCGACATCTCCTGTTTCTCTTGGGCCACACAGAACCTCTGTGGTACCGCTTTGATGAACAATTTGACATATTTCTTTCTCCAAGCGGGTCTCCATGAATCTAACTTGTTTAGTCTTTCCATGGGCCAGTACGCTATTGGGTTTGCTGGGGTCTTCGAAGCATGGCTACTCATGGTATATTGTGGGAGGCGGCAGTTCTATGTCAGTGGCTTGTGCGCGTTAACCCTTCTCCTTTGGGGTATTGGGTTCACATCTCTCTCTCCCGAGTCTACTACTACAGGGCAGTGGGCGGTAGGAAGTCTACTATTAGTATTTGCGCTTTGCTATGATCTGACGGTGGGAACGGTGACTTACTCTCTTATTTCACAAGTATCATCACTCCGCCTTCGGGCAAAAACTGTCAGCTTAGCCAGAGATGTGTACAATGTCTGCAGCATTGTTAGCGGCGTTATCACTCCCTACATGCTCAACCCAACTGCCTGGAATTGGAGGAATAAGGCGGTCGTTTTCTGGGCGGGTATATGCTTTCTTTGCTTGATCTGGGCGTTCTTTCGTGTACCGGAGACGAAAGGCCGCACATACGCGGAACTCTGTATGAGAGTATTCAATCATTAACTAACCCGACACATTCAAATCTGTCGAAGCCAACAAGACGTATCTTCCACCCGGCTCCAATTCATTGTTTCATGCAACCACAGCCTCGATATTGTTGAGCTCAAAATGTGAAGCTATGGTGGAACTGGCAGGAAGCCCTGTTCTCCCCAGACCGCATGAACGATTTCTTCTAAATCCGATCTCGTAAAAATGAAATCGCCCTGAGTCGACCTAGACGGATCACTCAAAAAGATATCTTGGAATCGGATTGTCAACGGCGCTCCGATAGCATGAGTGGTATTATCGCTCCGATTCATCTTAACTTCCTGTGTTTTCGCCGGTAGAGCAACAGTCTGATCCAGGGAGTGCTGAACTTGGAGCTGCCACGTTTCGAGAAGAATCTCCGGTTGCTTTCGGTTGACTGATATGATGATAACCATTTAACCAGTCCTTTAGACATGAGTAGCCACCACTCTGCGTCGACACGGCGGCGAGGAAGGCTCTCACAAAGACCAGTTTCAACCACCAAGGTAGGCCATTTACGGTCTCTCCCCGGAATCAATCGTCGTGGAATGTATTCTGCGTCTCCCTATTTGGCATAGGGCTCTTCTTTGATTGTTGTACTGTCGATCGGCCTCAGCTCACTTCCCATACCCTGATGCGCTGCTTCCTCCAGAATCAGAAATTCGAGAGCCTTCGTTGCAATTTCATATGGCCGCCTCTGTATCTTCACGACCAACTTGCGTAGATCGCTGTTATAAAAAACCCGCATGCAGATCCCACCATACAAGCAAGGGTCGTCGATCATTTGGTCAATAACCTCTGGTTCAACGTGGGAGAATACGAAGTATTCAGAATGTGATTCGTCTACATCGAGGCGTCGTTGGAGCGTCGTCTTGATCGCACGGATCTTGGTTGCGATTATTTCCGGGGTACCTTCAGGCAGGCATTCTAGAAACTTATCCTGCTGAAATTTTGAGACATCCATAGTTAGAGAGGTTCTTGTGGTATTGTGGGGCAGAGGTTGAGTTGCTTCATGATGCTTTTTTCGATGATACCTGCCGCCAATTATGCAATATTGGCGTCAGCTACCTATTCTGACCCATGGAAGACACCCCCAAAGGAAATTGTGAACAGGTATTTTCAGTGACATCGTCACCATATAGAAAGATGATCAGACCAGGTTGTAGTGATAAAGTTCTATCGGGAAGTGAGTAGTTTTGCCAATAGGAGGTTGACGGTGATAACCAAACTTAGTAGTGTTAGCTAGGATATTTAGTTGGAATACGTAATTTCGGAGCTTAGATTATGGGCATCAACTCATTCTGTCCCAAGATAATGACGAAGACGCCTCTTGCACGGCACGAACTTGCTTTATAACCTATTAGACAGCGGATGTATAGTCAATAATTGATAATCTTCCTACTCATACATACGAAAATAATAGTTTAGGCCGGAAGGATGTTTTTTAGCGAGAAAAGAGATTGCCATTCATCGTCGAGTAATTAAATATCCTTTTTCTAGAAACTGAAAAGAAAATAAAAAGAAGAAATGCCAGCTGGACAGCTACAAAGCCCTATGTAACCTATATTAATTTCTGTCCCCGCCAAACCTTACGAGCAAATCCCTCTAAAACCGCTGACCCAAAGACAAAATCGCCCTGAGTAGGGCCAGATGGGGGGATGGCAAAAACATCATCAAATGGGATCACCAATGGTGCTCCTGCAATGGTAGTGCTGGTCCCATTGTGCGTCATGGTGATTGAATGGGTTTTTGTTGGTCGTAGGGGGTTCCGACATAAACTCCGAAGCTGATGGGAGTGTTGGACAGCCCCCAACTTCCAGCACTCCAAGAGAATCTTCGGCTGGGCCCGATCGATTGATATTATTATTACCATTTTAACCAACCCACTCGACATGGTGAGCCACCATGAGGCATCAACTCGGAGCCTTAGAAGACTCTCCGAAAGACCTGTCTCAATAACAAGAGTAGGCCATTTATCATCTCTACCTGGAATAGGTCCCTGTGGGATGAAAGCCGCATCACCTTCTTTACTATATGGGTCTTCCTTGATTGTCTCAGAACCAACAGCAAGAAGCTGGTCATCAAGCCCCTGTCGCGAGGCCTCCTGCACGATAAGGAATTCGAGGGCACGAGTAGCCGCTTCATGAGCTCTTCTAGGTATCTTCACAATTAAATTGCGAGAAGAAGCATCGTAGAATGTTCTTATTCCAATCTCCCCACGTAAACCTCCATCATTACTTAGCTGACCGAACAGCTGTGGCCCAACATATGAAAACAGGATGAATTCCGATTCCTCTTCATCGGTATCGAGCTTCTTTTTGAGCGCCCTTCTGATTGCCTGTTTGTTTGTCGCGATAATTGGCTCGGTTTCTTCTGGCAAGTTTTCCATGAATTGGTTGCTTGAGAATGCTTCGACATCCATGATAGGGGAAGGTCGTGGAGCATGTGGAGGGAGTGTAGCACGCTCGAAGTCAGAAGTCATGGTGGGTGAGTTCATGGTGTTCTGTTATGTAACATTACGTCAGCCAACCTGGTTTAATAACTAATACTTATAAAACCTACCGATTTGATGAGAGATCTTGGGAATCGAAAGTTTCAGGATGTCAAGCCGATGAACTTCTAAGGACACAAGAGACGCCGTTACCAAAATCCCACACATGACACTAGCCTATACCTATAAGGGAATCCCCCCATTGAGTTCCTCCATTAATTTATTGACTTGGAGTATTCAACAATATTCAATTTCTGAAGTCCAGAACTTTACTAGAATTTGACTCTATATATTCACCAAGACTGAATAAATGATAGATACCTAACGACCGCCAATGATCTTGTCTGCAATGCCCTTGTACAGATCTCCCGGGTTGGCTCCTGGTGCCCAAGTCACCTCATACTTCTTTTTCTCACCCAGCCACTCCACATCAACCGAAAAGACCAGTGGTTCGTTCTTAATGAAGACATCTGTGCTTGCCTTGACCACAATGAGAGTAATTCGGGGGGTTCCCTTCTTCAGCTCTTCGATGGTGTGCTTCGCTGCTTTGGTTCTTGCATCGATGCCATTTCTGACATCCTTGAGAGTTTGCTGGAGGGCGTGAACCTGCGCGGTAACGTTGGCATGCTCGCGTTGTTTGGCTCGGAATTCACTGTCGAAAGGCTTGAGCTTTATCTCCTGCTCGAGCCTCACAATATCATTCTGGGCTTTCCTTTGTTCAGCTGTAATTCTGCCCCTGTTCCTTTCAAGCTCATTCTTCGCCTTAGTAAGTGCAGCTGTCAATTCTCTGCTTTCTCTCTGAAGGTCCTCAAGAAGTTGGATCTCGCGGTTCAGTTCTGCTTTCTCATCTCGAGACATTTCTCGAATGTAACCGTAGAGGCCGTCTCTCGTCAGCGCATCTACCGCTCTGCCAAATTTGTTAATCTCGTCTACAGCATTGTTGATGCCCCTTTCAATTTCTCTGAATTCTGGGGTTTTCATGACATTGCTTGCAGTATTCAAGAAACCCATGTTAAGATCCCGCTGTGCCTTCACTGACTCCAAGCCAGCATTAGCTTCTGAGAATATGAACCACTGCGGCATATAATCGTTAGTCATTTGCAATTATAGCGAGACAGTAATGAACAAACACACCGTTCCAGCCTTGTTCAAAAATGAAGCATTCAAGTGAGCAGTCCAGAGTTGTTCCTTCCTAACATATGCCTGGTACACTCGATCTATAAATTGGTAATTAGCATTCCGAATCCCAGAATTGTATAAAATCACCTACCATCCCAAAGCTTCCTCACTCCCTCTGCAATTGCAGCACTCCTGAAAATATCGCCCCATGAGAACTCCTTTTGGGCTTCCAGCCTCTGCTTCTCCGACTCCCACTCTCTCTGGTTGTTTTTCTGCTCCTTCAACTTGCGCTCGTACTCGGACGTCATATCTCGTATCTTAGCATCAAGCTTGCGCTGGGCAGCCTCTTTTTGAGATTTTTTCCTGTTGATTTCACCAGTGTTCTTGTCTTTTTTACGTTGGGCATCCTTCACGTTTTGCTCAAGGCGATCAAGTTCATTTCTCAACCTGGTCAGCTCATCATCGTCACGCTCAATTTCATTTTGCCGTTTGAGGACCTCTTTATTTGAATTGATCCGCATCTGATCCAGTTGCTTCTGCATCCCGTTCAGTTCCTGGTCATGTTTATTGATTTGCCCTTCGAGATCCTCTATGGCATTGTCGATGGTCTGTGTTGCGAGCTTCCCAAGCGCATCAATGCTCTGCTCGATACCATCGAAGATCGCACCGAAAAGGTCTGGTCGAAGCTCTGCTTCAAACCTCGCCTCTAGTCCGTCCAGTGACCTGCCCTCGGGAACTCTGACCTTTGCCTTGAGCTGGAGGGACAGATTTTCAAGGAATTGAATGGAAATATCGGCATCCAAACGTCTTTCTTGCACATCAGCATCAATGAATATCTTCACATGGAAGTCATGATACTGAATCATTCCGTCGATCAGAATTTTCGGCTTCTCCTTTGTCATTTCAATGTCGACTGTCGCGCATTTTCCATCAGCTGAAGCAGATTTGACTTCGAGGCCTCCAATGTTCAAGTTGTCGATACCTGCCTGGATCCCGACACCATCGTCGTTGAAGCGTCCGTCGAAATTACCCTTCTTCTCAAAAAATTCTACCTCACCTTTGATGTGAATACCACGTTCATAGTAAACATCAAAGACCTGGGCACCCGTGGAGAAATAAAACTTGAGATCACGGAAGATGAGGATTTTGTCAGCGTTACTGAGGTCTTTTTTCAATGCCTGAAAATCGGCCATCTCAGCTGCCAGTCGAAAAAGCTTCCCAATATTGATTTCACTGATCTCTACAGAGATCACTTGCTCCTTACCAATGCCCAAGCTCAGGATCATCTCTGCATTGAAATCGTCGCCGATATTGAGTCTTCCCGCAGCCTCCAAACGACTAATCTATATTAACAAAGTCCGTTCTCCTCGCTAAGAATATCAGAAACTTACTCAGGCCCATGAACAAGGACAGTCGCATATTTGAATCCGGCACCAATTCCAAGTTTCAAGATTACAACCTTCTTGTTCAACTTAAAAGGGTTGGCCCACTTGTCCTCTGAGTCCATGTAACTGTTCTCGCAGTCAGCAATATAAAACAACATTCGGAAATAAAGAAGAGTAACTGCGTACAGTTGTCCATGGGCACGTTCAATGGCTCCCTTGATGTTACCTCTAACCCTGATCGGAGGTTGATCATCAAACAGCAAAGTCAAGGTGGCATTCAGCTGCAGGTAGGGACTACCATCACCAGCGACGATGGCGGCGCCGAATTCACCCAGTTTTGCATAGTCACGGAGAGGAACCTAGATCCAACTAATCAGCCTTGCAAGAACAATCTCCCATTTTTTGTTCTTCTTACCTCGAGTGACTTGGGCATATCGATAGTGAATTGTAAATTGCCCCGAGAGAAGCCCACACCCAACACAAGGCCACCGATCTTCTTGCCGTCAGTCATTTGGTCAAGGGCGTCGAACTTCTTAATGGTTGCAAACAATTGAACACCTTATTTCGTTAGTAAGAACTCATATAACCCTTTTCAACTAAATAGGAGCCCACATACCTTTGGCGACGGGGTAGTTGTACGAATCGACTTGGGCGAGGACATCCCAACTGTCAACTTCAGTCACTTCAGTCACTTCTTCACTTGGGTTCTTTCTCTTTCTATCCTCTGAGGATGCAATGAGTGCAACATGGACCAGCTCAAGGTCCAAAAACCCGCCCTCAAGAGCTGGCCAAAGCTGGTTCAGTTTGATGCTATCGACACTGCCAACAAGAACCCAGTCACGCTTCTGCTTGTCTTTCTTCTTCTCGATATGGAGACCAACGGTCACAGTGAACTTCTCAATTTGAACAGTACCGAGGATAGAGAACTGGCTCTCTCGCTTGCTTACTTCTTGGTTCTCCTCGGGCTTCTCTCCTTCGTCTTCTGTCTTTGTCACGGCTTTGTCGTCGTCAACGGCGTCACCTTTGCTCTCTTTCTCATCGGGTTTGTTGATCTCCTTTTCTGCTCCTCCGTCAGTGATAGCCTTGGGGTTCTTCTGACCCTTGACTGTCTTCTTGCTCTTTTTACTCTTCTTGCCCTGTTTGAATCCAATGTAGATGTACATTCCGGCCTTCTGGATCTTGATCTGAGTGTCAGGAATGTTAAACTCCTTAACATCTCCATTGATTGTCAAACCATCCTGATCGATCTTGATCATGGCACTCGCACTAGAATGTTCGTTGAATGTAACGGAGCCATCCAATTGCAAGCATCTCTCTGTAATTTCGCCAACCTTCTTGCTAGACAGGTTGAGATGAAGCTTCTTGAATGTGATTTCGTTGCCTTTTGCTTCTTCACTTGCGTCATCCTTTGGCACCTCGTAACCAGCGATTTGTGCGTGGATCTTCTTGATGTCACTGAGCGTGAGGTCGCCCACTTCGGCATTCAGGAAGTTTTCATCTACTCATCGGTTTAATCAATGTTCAAATATGATCAACGTACAGCTTCCACTTACTCTTGGAGAATTTCCCTGTGACTTCAAGGGTTCCGCTTCCCAAATCCAGCTTTGCTGACAGATCCAGGCTTACGGTCTCTGAGAACTTACCCTGTTCGAAGGAGGCTTTGAACTCGGCCTTTGTCAACTGAGTAAAGGAAGACTGGTTAGCTAAAATTCCCAGTACACGAATTGCTACACTCACCGAGACGTTCTTAATGCCGTAGATATCCTTCCATTCCTCAGAGAAGATAACCAAGCTCCACACTTTCTTGTGTTCGCCATCCGAGTATTGCTTTTTAGGCTTCTTTAGAGACTTTCCACTCGAGCTTTTAGAGCTACCCTTGACAATCTTTTTGCCGTTGGCTTCGGTCTTTTCCTCATCCTTCTCTTCGGGTTTGTCCTCGGGTTTGTCCTCGGGTTTGTCCTCGGGTTTGTCCTCCTTCTGCTCATCTTCTTGGTCATCCTTATTGCCTCCACTCCCATCGGCTTCAAAGTCCCGAGCAATGCGGTAGTTCAACTCTAAAGGAGCATTAGCGTGAGGAATTTGGTAATCATTGCTGTTCCAAAAAAGGCAAAGCCAAAGTTCCAGGACTGTTTCTCCTTGGGCTTTTTCCCTTCATCCTCTTCCTTCTCCCCCTCTTCCTTCTCTCCCTCTTCGTTTTCATCCGTGGACTTCTCATTTTCCTCTGTTTCTGTCTCGGTCTCATCCTTCTCGTCATCTTTGGGCTGTATTGTCTTAGCTGCTTTGTCTTTGGAAGCTCAGGGGCTGGGTTCCAACATACCTCGTTCTCAGACTCATCAGGTTCGTCTTTGTCCTTGTTTCCGTTCGAATCATCGGTGGATGAGTCCTTCTTACGCTTTCCCTTGGCTGCCTTGGTACCAGTGATCTCAACACCCATTGTCGTAAATTGAAGGACGTCCCAAGTCTTCAAACCGATGCTTCTAAAGTAGCCCTGGAGCACAAACTTCTCAATCACTGGTCGCTTAGACCAATCTCTTGTATCTGAAAGATGGGCACTGAGATGGATCGAGTCAGGCGGCTTCTGATCACCGAACATTGACTTCAGTGCATCGCTCGCCCACTGGAGGCTATCTTTGAGCAATACATCGGCTTCTAAGCGCAGGCCAGGAGGGAAGAAGGCGCTCTGCTTCTCCTCACAATAGGTAAACTCGAGGTTGGTTATGGGCATTTTCTTGAGGTCCACATCTTCGATAAATGGAAAGAGCGTTCCCAAAGGTTCTCCCTTCAATGCCAAACTTTTTGGGTTCAACTTGACCTTTTCACGTGCAGGCTCTGAACTCTCCCCCTCACCATCATCCTCTGTTTTACCATCTGTGTCATCTTTATCTGCTTCAGCGTTCTCCTCCTTCTTCTCTCCATCCCCAGCCTGCTCCCCAGGACCTATTAACGAACGAATCAGCTTCTGCAATTCCCATCTTTCGTATCGCTACACCTACCCTTGAACTTATAAAGCTTGCCCTTCAAGCCCTTGATGCCGAATACGTTCTTAATGTCTCCCGACAACATATAGTTGTCAAGTTTGGATTGAACGATTTTCTTCTTCTCTCCCGATTCTGTCGCGTCTGTATTCGAGGCCACAGTGATCAAATCCGAAAGCATCGTCGCGCCAGCTGGGAGCTCGCTATGCATAGCTGTGGCGACCGGTACATGATTCCCTTCTTCCGGCAAAAGCAAAATAGGGAGTTGGCGTGTCTTTCCCTCAGAAGTCTCCCCTGGGACTTCTGCCAATAGCTGCGTGGTCACATTGTTACTTCCTTTGATGGGGATGATGGGAAGACTTGCGAATTCCGTCGTCGCCTTTTGGTCTTCGATAGGGATGGTGGGAAGTTCTACGAATTCCTTCGTCGCCTTTCGGTCAGGTACCACCAAAGAGAGATTGCTCACAACTGCACCTCCAATGACGGTTTCATTCAAAGATTCAGGTTTGCACTTGCCGGACAGAGCACCAAAGGTACCGAGATTATTAGCAAACTCCGTTGGAGTAGGTGGTGAGTCACAACTATCTGAGTCGCCGCTAGAGAAGTCTTCAAGTATCTCTAATGGGGCCAGTTCGCCGTACTCCACTTTGTGGAAGTCGTGTATATCCTCATCAATAAGTGACTCAGGTCCCTCTAATGGCACCAGTTCGCCGCACTGCGATTCGATCAAGTGGTATAGATCATCAAGGGCTTTCGCCGTCCCTGAATATGCGTACCTATCATGCGTCATGGTCTTCTCCAAGTCATCCGCCGTAAGGACATCTTGCGCGTTCGGCATGGTCAAAACAAATAAGCGTTCGCTCAGAACGCCAGTGGGCGAACACGAACAGGCTGAGTATTATTCTTGTGATAGTATAGTTCAATCTTAGTTTGTGAGGTATTATACTCCACAATTACACTCAGTGTGGAAGGAATACCGAGATCAAGCACCCTAAGAACCACGGAATAGCGTTGTACCGTGTTTCATTTGCCCTCGGTAGTTTTGCGAGATTAGTTCTAGCAAACAAGGCTGTCTTTTCGGCTAGGATATCGGGGCTCCATGGGATACCCGCACAACACTTCTGAGCTGTGCTTGCTAGCTGTGCCGTTCTCTTGGCCTAAAGAGGTTCAGATGCCTATTCTTGTAGGTTGATAATGGGTTGTGGGCCTTGTGGGTCGTCTGGCATCTCTGAGATAGCTCTGAGATAGCCGATCCACGGTGCTGTGATTTGGACCTTACGCTAAACTCAGGAAAGAATAATATACTGTAATTTTCATGTATATTATAATTTAGTCTTTGAAGCTGCTGATACTTCCTATTTAAGAAGAATCTTCTAGCATAGTAGGGTTACCACCTGCCTGACTACCTAGTACCTGGTCCCTACCAAAGCGCTCGTTCGGCCCGCTCAAATCCTAATATCTCTTTCTTTTTTAGACCCCCTAGGCTTTCTACGGGCCTGTGTAATCAGCGGTTCTAGTAGATAAGATTGACGTCATTTGATTGGTAGATCTAGAATATTCTTGTAAGAAGCCAGTTAGAGTTGACTAAGATTTCTTTCTAAAGTGCTTATAGCCAGAGATGGCGTTGACAGTGTTCACTGCTATGCCTCTATACCCCAGGGCTTATCATCATTCCACAGGCTCCGGCCCTCGTTCTACGCAGCGGTCAACTCTCCTTCAGTTACGCTCCATCAGGCTCATAAAACAGTTCATTAAGTGATACCAACCTTCACACCAACTAAACAGTCAACTCACAAGCAGCCTCAATCCCCGGAAACCGATCCCTAATCAAACCGAACTTCTCAATAAGAATATCCTTGGACACCTGCTGCAAATTATGAAACGAAAACACCACACTCTTCATAAAGACGATATCCCCAATACGACTAGTCGTGAGCTCCAGTGACGCCTGCGGGAGATGGATAACCACGTCTGCGATAATATTAATAATCTCCACCAGCTTGGTGAGGATCGAAGATCCGTGCACGCGGATCGTATTTTGCGAGATCTTAGTCAGAAATTGTCTCAGTTGGCTGGAGAGTCGGAGCGGGAGTTCCAAGGACAGGGACGGACAGAGAGGACGAGAGGACAAAAGCCAGTTGGACATGGCCATCTGCCAGAGAAGAGTACGCATCCATTGTCTGGTGATGACGAGATCTGCTTGCTGCGTCTCAGACAGCATTGAGACTTCGAGCTCCCAGCGGGCGTCGTCTAGCTCGCGATGCTTTTGCTCGACCCACTTCGCTGAGACTTGGCTTCTATCGCCGATCCAGAGGTTGATGAAGGTTGGCTCGAGGATAAGGAAGGTCTTGATGACTTGGATCCAGCCTGGGAGATTTCGGCGGGTAGGTTGGGGGTCAGCCTCGGGGAAGGAGGCATGGGGGGGACATCGTGGCGGGAGAGAAGTGGACGATCGACATGAATCGTTCGTGGATGAAGCATAACCAGTACAGACGTTGGCGTCGGGCTCGTTCGGTAGGATGCAGACTTCCGAGAACGGTCTTGTCCTCAATCCGCAGCAGGTGGATCATGGCGATGGCCTCACGCAAATATATAAAGCCTAGGTCGTACTGACCAAGGCTCATGAAGCACATCTGAATAAAAATATTCGTCATTGTGCGCAGGATGGACGGCCGGAATCCAAGAAACATTGGCGGTTGGATTTCGATGGATTGGTTGATGAGCTGGGTGAGCTGGGTCGAGGCGCTCGACGTGGGGCGATTGGATTGCGTCAGGTCAATAGTCGCCGCAGCAAACGCGTATACAAATGCCGCATTTTCTCTGTCAGAGTTCATTTTGCTGATTGCATCTTGCACCTCGTCGGCGGTCATGATGGGATTGAATGGGTATACGAAACGCATGTATTCCGAGACCAGGCTTTCAAAGTACGGGGTTGAGTCTGATGATAAAGCAGGAGCGAGAAGTGGGTTTGACGACGACTCCGTTTTATGTTTCGAGATAATCTCTCCTCGACGCAGCGCATGTTTCCTTGACCGCGCGAGCCGGTTATCGGTATACGTGCAAACTAGGCCCAAGTGCTCGCATTGTTGGCACCGTTGCTGACCATTACAGCGCACTTTCCTTCGCCCGCAAGCGTCACATGCCTTGTGTACTCGGGGTCGCCGGTATTCCTCCATGGTTGTACGGTGATAAATGCATGGATCTAGCACGCGATGTCGGTAGGAAGAGACATCGTGGGCCCCGCCTGTCTTACCCCAGGTTTTATATTGATCGCGTGCCTTGGCGCCTTGGCACCGGCCTGAGGCTCGGGTTTACCGAGAGCATTTTTGATTTGTTTTTATATTCCAAGGGAAGAAACAGAAATCATGTATTCAGTCTATGGGCTCTACCAAAATCATTATGTCTATCGACTAAAACAAAAGCACACGTCCCTCAAATGGCTGCAACTTGCTCAGATCCCCCTCAACGTTACGCAGCAACACCTTCGGATCTTGCACCGCAGCTGGTTTCTCGAATGTCAGTGTATCCTCTGAGAAGTTCAGTACTACTAAAACCGACTGCTCCTGCCCTCGCTTGATATATGTGAACACCTTCTCGTTTTGCTCATCCAGGATCTCAAATTCCCCAAAGACCATGATATCGGCATATTCTTTACGTAGCTGAATAACCCGTTTCCAGAACGACAAGACAGAGGACTCGTCGTTCTCCTCCGCTTTCACGTTTATCTCGGGGTAGTTATCGTGGACACGCATCCATGTCTTTCCCGACGAGGAAGAGAATCCACCGTTAGCCTCGGGGCTCCACTGCATAGGAAGCCGGGCATGGTCTCTCGCAAAGCGTTGCAGTGACTCCATAGCGGTTGCCAGCTCCACCGGGTCATTCTTTGAAACGTTCTGCACCATTTGGTAGTAGTTTGTGCTGTCGACGTCTTTATATTCGTCAATGGTCCAGCTCTCCGGCGCATTGACCATGCCAATTTCCTGGCCTTGGTAGATGAATTGAGTGCCTGACAATGCACCCTGCATCATTGCAAGCATCTTCGCCGATGTGACCCTCAATTCTGGAGTTTTCTCGGATCCAAACCGAGAGATGGACCGACCCTGATCGTGGTTCTCCGTGAACACTGTGGACCACCCGTCTGTCCCACTCATGATTTCTTGCGTACCCTTGACAGCGGCCTTGAGCTCCGGCAGGGTCCAGCCTGGCAGCGTAGTCAAGAACTTATAGTCCTTCCCTTGTCCGAGGTCTACGATATCGAACTGAAAGACCATGTTGAGCTGGTTCTGTGCGGCGGACACATACCGCAGAATGCCATCGACAGTGTGGGTATTTGGTAGCTCTCCTACCGTCATAGCGTCATACTTTGAAAGTACCTCATTCATCTCAGCGAGGTATTCGTGAATCCGAGGTCCATTGCAGAACAACGCTGGCGACATTTGAGTCTCAGACTTGGGATCCAGGACCGGCGCATCTGGGTATTCTGGGTGCTTGCTGTACATGTTCACTGTATCCACACGGAATCCATCGACGCCCTTCTGCAGCCAGAACTCCATGGCTGAGTCATAAATTGCGCGGCGGGTCTCCGGGTTTTCCCAGTTGAGATCCGGTTGTTCCTTGCAAAACAAATGGAGATAATATTCCTGGGATTGTTCATCCCACTCCCAAGCACTCCCGCCGAAGATACTGCGCCAGTTGTTCGGGGGCTTGCGGGTTCCATTGACGTCGTATTTTGCAGGCTTCCAAATGTACCAGTCCCGCTTGGGGTTCGATTTGGACGACCGCGATTCCTTGAACCACTTGTGTTCGTGGGAGGTGTGATTGACGACCAAGTCCAGAATAATGCGCAGGCCGCGACGGTGGCACTCGTCGATGAGAACCTCCATGTCCTGAACTGTTCCGTATGGTGGGTAGACACTCTCATAGTCGGCGACATCATACCCCATGTCGTATTGGGGGCTGTCATACATCGGTGAGATCCAGATCACGTCAACCCCAAGGCTGGTGATATAGTCGAGAGAGGAGATGATCCCGGGGATATCGCCAATACCGTCATTATTGGAGTCTTTAAAACTGGCCGGGTAGATCTGGTAGATGATGGCGTTCTTCCACCATTTTTCACCGACTGGGGCTGGAGACATGTTCACGGGGTATAGGGTATAGGAGATGCAGAGAGGGTGGTGGGAGAGAAATGTTTTCTGGCAGAACAAACTTGGTCGGAAGGAAAGATATATAAGTGCCTTGGTGAGTAGTGAGATCATGGCACTCTCACACCATCACATAACACCTGGCATGCACCATGTTGATCTATATGATTGGCACTGTTGATTGGCGCAATATCGGGCCGAGCAGATATCGCTCCTGCATAAGAGGCCCATGCGGTGTCCACCAGCTCCAGCTTCAAACCCACAACACCGTTCCCCCGCATGACCGTTGTCAGAACCGTTCCCACTGTTCCCTTTCTCCCATGGGGACCCTGGTTATGTTATACACATGTGCATATAGCGCATCTGGTAGCAGCTAATATGGCCGGGAGACCGACTAAACTGGCTGCGGTTAGGGTTCTCCGCATTAATGTGCCGCGGCCCGACATTGAGCCAATAGAAAGTCGAGGGCTGCTACCCGAGCAGCCAGAGCAGCCAGAGTCTGGACACCGTGATAAAACTGACCCTAGGCCAAGAGTCTGGCCCACCCGATGCCGCCCGTTCCACTGCCCCTATCTGATGATATCTGGGCATGACTGATCATTTGCCTTTTACACTAGTGGGTGTTTGCCAAAAGTCCACCTCAGTGGTAGTATATGCATCACTCCGTGTTGGTATGACATGCAGGGAACAATTCGACCCGACTCTCCTTAAATGGTTGTTGAGTGGATTGGAGACAACCTTCGTTTCGGAACAGAAGTCAATTCTTCCATTGCCTTCGAATTTTTTCCGGCCCGACATCCAGCCAATCAGATCCCTTCCTTCGGCCGTCAAAAATCCGGGGGGATCCACCTGAGAGAATCTGGGGAAAACCTTCGCCCTCGCACTGCACCTGCAGACTGGTGGAGATTCAACCAGATAATCATGCGGACTAGGGTAATCTTAATGCTCGTATAGTTCAGGTTAGGCGCATAGATCGTGCCATTGATTGTGGTCTGAGTCCTGTATCGCAAGCTTCTATAAAGGCCCGGTATGTGCCTTCGCTTTCCACACCATCATCCACTCCATTTGCAATAACTCCGACGTGGCATTCTGCATACCTGACCCAAGATGACTCCAGAGAAGGCTGCTATGTCTGAACATATTGAGAACGACAATCCACCGAGCCATGATGCCCTCGACCTCCCCAACAGTAGCGAGGCACAGGCAGCCATTGCGAAAGAACATGACATGACCCTATGGGAAGCGCTTAGGCTTTATCCCAAGGCCGTGGGGTGGTCTCTTCTGTTTTCCTGTGCCATCATCATGGAAGGCTATGATGTCGTCCTCATCGGCTCCTTCCTGGCATTTCCTGCATTCAACGAAAAATACGGAGGTCTCATGTCTGATGGCACCTATGGGCTCGAGGCTAAGTGGCAAGCCGGCGTAAACAACGCCATGGCCTGCGGTCAAATTATCGGACTTTTCCTCAACGGTCTTGTCTCAGAGCGCTTTGGATATCGAAAGACCCTGATGGCATGTCTTGCTGCCACTGTTGGTTTCGTTTTCATTCTGTTCTTTGCCCCCAATATCCAAACTCTGGTTGTCGGCGAGCTCTTCATGGGCATCCCCCTTGGTGTATACCAAACCCTCGTCGTGACATACGCATCTGAAGTGTGCCCTATCGCGCTGCGCGCATACCTCACCACATATGTTAACCTCTGCTGGGTGCTAGGCCAATTGCTCGCCTCGGGCGTGCTGAAGGGTCTCGCCAATCGCAGCGATCAATGGGCATACCGTATCCCCTTCGCTCTGCAATGGATCTGGCCCATCCCCATTTTCATTGGGGTGTTTCTGGCCCCCGAGAGCCCCTGGTGGCTCGTTCGGCAAGACCGCCGCGAAGACGCCGTCAAGGCTCTGAAACGACTGACCCGCGCTAGCGCCGACTTTAACGCCGAGGAAACCGTATCGATGATTGTGTACACGGATGCACTCGAGCGACGTGCTGAAACCGGTACCTCCTACCTTGACTGCTTCAAGAAATGCGACTTACGCCGAACCGAAATCGCCTGCTGTGCATGGGCGGCGCAGAGTCTGTGCGGCGCAGGCCTGATGGGCTATTCCACCGTCTTCTACCAGCGCGCGGGTCTCGCCGTGTCACAGTCCTTCACCATGTCGCTCGTGCAGTATGCTCTGGGTGTAGTGGGTACCTTTATCTCCTGGACGGCGATGTCGTACTTCGGTCGTCGCACCCTCTATGTCGGCGGTCTATTCTTCCTCGCCATTGTGCTATTCGTCATCGGGTTCGTCTCAATTGCTCCGTCCACCTCCGCCATCTCCTGGGCCACCGGCTCCATGCTTCTCGTCTACACGTTCGTCTACGATTCCACCATCGGCCCCGTCTGCTTCGCTCTCGTCTCCGAAATCCCATCCTCCAGACTCCGTACTAAGACCGTGGTACTGGCCCGAAACGTTTATAATATTCTGAACCTAGTCACTGGAATCATCATTCCCTACATGCTGAACGTGGACGCTTGGAACTGGCGTGGAAAGTCTGGTTTCTTCTGGGGTGCGCTGTGCGTTTGCTGCTTGACATGGTCGTTCTTCCGCCTGCCAGAGCCTAAGGGACGGTCATATGCTGAGCTGGATCTATTGTTCGAGAGACGGGTCAAGACGCGGGAGTTTGCGACTGCTAAAACTGGGCTGGAGGATATACAGGGCGAGGGGAAGGATGATATGGTGAAGGTTTGAGTTTGGGTTAGCGACTTAGTTAGGCTTTGTGTCATATGGCGCAAGCGGTGTTCTTGCGTAAGGAGTTTCTGTCATACTGTTCCGTTCTGTTATCTACTTTTTCAGATGTTTATACCATGTTCTCTTCCGAATTGGCTTTGCAGACAGCCTAGAAGGTCTCGCGGATATATAACATAGCCTTGTTCAAACCATGAAATAATTTAGCTCATTGAATTGGCACATCAGTACAATTTGTGCATCATGATTGGATCATCTCATGGTATCTTATAATGAATGACTCGCAGCTGCAGGTGGATGCTCTAATTTATATCATTCACATCGCGGCTGATTGGAGTTAGACAGGCGGCCGGGATTATCTGCATTTAGATTTAATAGGGTTAATAGATATCTCGAGTTGTATCTAAGCAGCTCGTTAAGTTCCTCAAGCTCTGTAGCATAATATGCGATCTAGTGTATTTCCTGTGGGATTAATTTATTCACGACAGTTATCGTGAACTGTCTACATAAGACCGTGTTACTTTTGGCCCCGAATCCATCATATACTGATGCATGGCCATTAGTTGATCTTAAGAAGCTCAACCTCGCTGCAAAATGACAGTTAGTCCCGCAAGATTATTGTCAGGTTTACGTGACTTTGCCGACTTACAAGATGAGGGTAGAGTTTGCAGGGATCTTGCCAGCAGCCCTATATAGAGAGTTGCGTTAGAATAGTTTCGATCGGCACACTTCACAGCGTGTAAAAATTATTGACTGGATATTATCTGGTAACATACTTGTCACCGTAGCCATAGTCCCTAAATAAAATGGTCAGTATTATGCTATATTTCTACATCTCGTAAGGGAAGGTTGACTTACGGAGTAATAGTCAGAGTGGACTTCTCGCCCAGGCTCATCTGCATGACACCCTCATCCCAGCCTAGCCCGACAATGTCAGCAACGCAAGCCAATATATCAAGTGACGGTCAGTAGCCAGGAAGAACTTACCCTTGATAGCCTTTCCAGTCCCAATCTGCACACTCAAAGGGCCACGACCCGGCGATCTAGAACTATCAAACCTATTGACTGATTCAGCATATAAATTCCCCTGTGAGAGAAGCTGGAGACTCCAGTGGAGGATAAGCCGGCTTACTGCTTGCCCTGGAAGCCCTTGTTGGCCTTCTTAGCGTCGTAGATCCAGCCGGTGTAGTGGATCGAGACCTTGTCGCCGGAAGCAGGCGAGGGGCCGCTACCGCGGGTGATGATCTTTCTCTCGACACCCATATTGAATGTTTGTTTTGTAGGAAGTGTAAGAGCGACAAGAAGTACCGGGAGTTGGTGGAACGAGGGGGGTCAGAGATGAGCGGGAACGCTGATTCGTATTTTTCCTCGAAGTGGGGGTGTGCTTCTTATCGATTTCTGCCAGCAGATTCCTCTACTGATGGAGATTATTCGGTGTTTCTGTACTTATGCTTGAGAACTTATTACAAAAACAGGAATTCTATGTGTTCTATATGTTCCTCTACCACATTCGATCTTTAAGGATCTAAATAATAGAGAATTGGCTTTATATTACATGTGTAATCGATTGTAATCTACATCACGTGATGCCTGATCAACTTCTTGTGGGCGAGATTATATAATCGCAGTTAGCCAGGTAACTGTCATGTGACTTCCATGTATTATTATCCTACCATTACGGCGTATGTACGTGCACTACCGTAACGAACGAATCCACTCCCCACTGCGGTTAAGTCAATCCTTCCCCATAACCTCCCCACTGCAGTCATAGGGATAGTACTACTAGTCTAGTTTTCTATTAGTACGATTTTACGATAGAGTACGATTTCATATGAGCAATAGTAACTAATATCAGAATCTCACCCATTTTTTGGTGAAGAGTACACCGGGTTCTCAAGGCTGTTTTCACTCAGCAGCGACACTGACTGGACCAATCAAGAGGATGAGTACCTCGTCCTGATGGTGACCTACTCCCTACTGTGTAGATAATAATAGACACATCTACTGCACACTTGATCAAGAGAGTAGCCCTAGTCTAGCTCTTGATGCCTCAAGCCGTGAAACCCTCCCTTGCTGCCTTCATCATAACAAGAAAGGAAAGTCGACCGTTAATCATTTACTCTCTCCCTTCTCTTTCTGCCGATATCGAAGAAGGAACATGGTCTTATCATTCCTCTTCAAACTTAAGATGCAGGAGGCTCTCGTGCTAGAGAGGGGCTGCCCGTCGCCACACGTCGGCTAAGATTGAGACGTTGATTAAGTAACCCCCGAATCAGCATGTTGAATCCCACGACCTGAAGTCAGCCGGTATCCGCCACCTTCCTTTGTCCTTTGAAAGAGATACTCAACATTATCCACACTTCTTTAAACCATACCAAGGAGAACTGCCTCTCCCGCAGCAGGAGAAGGAGGACAAGCTACTGGAGTTCGAGCCCGATCCAGATCACATTGTGTGGGATACTCGCAATATGGAGACCTTTTTACCTACTTCTTTCATGAGTGTTAGGAATATGCATCGCAGAAGTACCCGCGTAGCCTTCTACCATCTAATGTATATCGAGAGTACGCTGTCTCTCTCACATATTCCTTGTCAATTTTGAGTCTGCCTCCTGACCGTTCATGACAGGACTGGAGATTACAAATTTGGCCAACTCCTGGAGTATATGGGGTTTAACTGGCCTGCGGCATCCGTGACCGATTATCCGGCTACTAGACTTAAATATCCATACTTTTCAAAGCGTCTACAGGTACGCGATGTGAATGATGGAAATGATATATTCGAACTAGCACACGACGGGAGGCACCCAAACACCTACAGCCCGAATATTAGCAGCAACACAGGACGCTGGTTCCCAAACAGGTACAATTACAAATTCTCAACGTGCAATACAAAGATGCACCGCACTGAGCAATGTCCTTGGTCTGGAAAAGACTATCTGCGCTGCCATACGTGTGAGTTCCATCTGTTGTCTACGCTGAATATATCCAGCTTACCAAGCCTACAAGGCGGCCAATTCGGACACTATTCAAAAGACTGCAATCCATTACAGCCTTGCAGAAATTGTATTTATTATATAAGTATAATCAAATTCAGTTTCCCGGCTAATCCTTTTAGGTTATAGCAAAGGACATTGGCAAAACGAATGCAATTATGATAAAGGGTGCTTTGCATGTAAGTTGCTCCTTCTGAATTTAATAGATATGTACTAAAATCTCCTTTCACAGGCGGGCAGTATGATCACTGGGCACCACATTGTCCCTGGAAACAAAAACTGGGAATTTAACGCCGAAGAAGATCTGTAGCCTGAGCAGCAAGACAAACAGATACCAAGTCACTTAAGTAAATGGAGTGAGGGAAGATTATTTATATTCGGGAAGCAAATCATGTCAACTGCCTTTTTTGCTTTTTGGTGCAGATTTAAGCAGGGTCATCTCCAAGACATACTGTAAAAGTCCGAAGAGATATTAATCAAAGAGAGAATAATTCCATTATTCCGGAATAAATAAGTGAACATCTGTGGCAATACAGCAGGATGGAATCCATGCATGGGTAGGCTGGGATATTTTACTTTGGATTCCTACTAGTTAGGTAAACTGCTCACTAACGGACTATCTTAACTACCACGTGATCATATAGATCGGAGGTTTATGTGCTATTTCCGCAAGGCAGCCTAGTGGAAGAATTAAATTGAATTAGCTTTCACCCTGGGGTAAATGATTAGTACGGTATAGGGAAAGGTGCTTCTAACAGGTCAAAAGGAAAGATCAGCGAAGCCATAGACTCTATACCGCTGTGATACCCCTTGGCTATATGAAGAGCTTGTTCCCAATTGTCAAGGGCGATATAGTGTCTACTTGAAAGTAAGGAAAATTGTAGACTAACCTCCTGGCCTGCTAGGGATTACTGTTGTTTGTCTAATTTGCATGGAAGCTTTCAGCCATTGGGATCACGTATTATCATAATACAAGTCTCGTAATAAATTACGATATACTGATAGTTGTATTCGGTACAGGTAAACCTACAGGAATATTAATGATCCGAGCCCTTTTGATATTGATCCAATACTAGAAATATAGTGATAGAAGTATATAGCTAGTGTCCAGTGTTCCTAAAATTACCCCCGCAAACTCCGCACGCTTGGTCATCAGTGTCATCCGTGCGGGCGAAGAATGAAGCGAATCCACTTTCTCCCGATAAGCTCCCGTATCAAAGGCTTCCTTGCGCGTAAGCACCTTATAAAGTGCCGTAAATCCGCGTAAGCCCGACAGTAAGCCGCTTCATGCCCTATGCCCATAAAAGACCACTTTTCCGACCTCACGAACTTGCCCATAGAAATACTTTCTTTATACAGTGTCCTCCATATCGAAGAAGGTCAGTCACCATGATCGTATGGAATAATTTGATTACTGTCCTCCCGGTCTAATATTGGAAACTAAATGGCGAAAACTCCCGGCAGATCTCTGACATCCAACCATGCCGGAAACAATCATCATCCCCAGCTCCTCCAACGGTGGCCAAGTCACCATCAAACCCACCGCCACATTCACGGGTGATGTTTACCTCGACATCTTGCATATGGATGAGAAGGCTGCCATTGCCAATGTTACTTTCACTCCCTGTGCGCGGACATATTGGCACACCCATGAAGAAGGGCAATTTCTGAAAGTCGTAGCCGGTTCTGGTTGGATCTGTGACGAGGGTAGCGAGCCACGCCGCATCAATATGGGAGACCTGATCTGGGCTCCGGCGGGAACAACCCACTGGCATGGAGCTGATGATGATAGCATTATGACACACTTCGTGATCGGTTTGGGCAAGACCACATGGCACGGTCCAGTGACGGATGAACAGTATGATGTCAAAAAGGATTAGATTGTGGGCAGAAAAGATGGCGTGATCGAATATAAAGCAATGTACTGAAGTTGGGTTCAGTTGAAACTCCTCTAGGTAGCAAGTAGAACTTTGGGAAACGGGCTTGTTTCATTGTGAACGAGTGATTGATTGGATCATTAATACTCCATCAATCTCAACATATACGGAAACAGTAACCAGTGCCGAACTCTCAGCTGTGTCTGTGGCTCCCATAGATACGTCAGAGGTATCATGTTTCGTGGGCGTTTGAACTGTTGATTTGTGATTTTGATTTGGAATTGATGCATTAGGTAGTGGAACGCATCTTTTATAGCCAAGGTGATTGCCACGAATAAATTGATCACTAAGAGAGCAACAGGCCCCGGCTACCATAGTCATTAGGATGATCTTCCATATTGTCAAGCCAGGATACGGGAATTTCCTGTTCAGAAGCACTGGATAGTAGTGATATGTACGCGAGTACAGTCGTAGATTTGAGTGAAGCCAAAAAAGCTGGCATTGAGTTTTGGAGCTTCAATTTGGATACCCAACTACTAACTACGGACCGGTCTCCACCGTCGGTTTATCGGGGTATCCGCATCGCTGCAATATTCAATTGGCTAGTACCTGGCCTCTGGATATACCCTGTATTTGTTTTATTTCGTGGTTGATATTTCTGGATATCGGAATTATTGGGTTGATCTTATGATCTTCCACAGGAGGAACATCGTCGGTCTCCCGCAACTGATCACTTGTAACCTCCCTAGGACGGTCATTGAAACTTGCATATGGGTGGTTACAGTGAGCTTTAAACCGTCCTCGACGTCTTCCAGTCTGACCATGTGGTACTCTCGTTAGTTGTCATGATGAGATATGGCATACCAAAAATTTCAGTCACTAAAGCTCCTATTTCCTCGTAGATAGTATTGAGATATCAATGTTCTTCTATTATAGCCATGGCCATGGCTATATGGCGGTCTAATATCGCAAACTCCCCAATGGCAGTTGTTGCCCTTCAGAATTCGATCCTCATAGCCATCTTGAATCGGTCTTGTAGAAGCTGATTCATGGAACCTTTCTAGTGGTGTCGTTAAATTACTTTCCTTCGTCTGAAAAACGCCAGTTTGCTGCCTCCCCCAACTCGGACAGCTTTGCGAGTACGCATGTATTGACAATAACGCTTGATATAGATGCCTAGGGATATAGTTTAGTTCAATACAATGAGATCTAGATAGTATTCTTCTGAGACATCAATATTATCCCTTTGTCTCAGACCAAAGCACAAATCCCGAAAAGGTAGTTGGCAAGATATATGCGACCGGCTTTTGGTTTGGAGCTTAGGATGAGCTAACTGAGTAAGTATATGATGAGACATTATGATCGCCAAATATATCTCGGTATTTGGGTTTTCAAACACGAGCGGGTCTGGCATGTCTCACCCACTTTTTGAGGCGAATTGCCAAGGTAGGATCTTCCCCGGAATTTCAGACCATCGGCGATTCAATTCCCGTCGATCACCGAATATTGAGGCCTCTTCACCTCAATGTAAGCTACCGCTAAACCGTTCTGGAATGAAAACCGTCCAATTTTGAGGCACCATGGTTCCCAATCCTTCATTATACTGGGGACTGGGGATCCTTCTCTACGTGAGGGGTCGCGTCGGCAAGATATAAAGCTGCCCAGGTCTCTCTGAATTGTTACCATCCTATTCTCATCATCATCGCCATCTTCCGCAGTACTATCCATATTTCCTCAGCGTTGCCTACCGTTCCTCGACCTAATCAATTCACCCTATCACCATGAAGTTCTCCGTCCTCTCTATCCTGACCCTCGGTCTCACCGCTGGTGCCCTCGCCGCCCCTGCTAACGTTGAGCGCGATCTTCCTACCATTAAGGGTGTCCTGTCTGGCATAGGCCCCAAAGTCGATGCCCTTGACTCGGCGATCCAGGCATACACGGGCGGTGACGTGGCTAAGGTTCAACAAGCCTCTGACAACCTTGTGAATGCCATTAATGCCGGCACTACCCAGGTCAGCAGCACCTCTGCCCTCAGCGGCGGTGATGCTCTCGGTCTTCCCGGCCCCGTCAACGACCTCAAGCAGAAAATCACTACCGCCGTTACCCACCTATCCGGCAAGAAGTCCCAGATTGTTCAGGCCGGCAAGGGCGGTCAGACCTATAACGACTTGATCCAGCAGAAGAATGCCGCGAAAAAGCTCTCGGATACGATCGTTTCCAAGGTTCCTGATAACTTGCAGAGCGTTGCCGCTGGAATCGCCGGCGGTATTTCTGACGCGATCGAGAAGGGTGTCAAAGACTTCCAGGACCAGGCTGCAAAGGGTGGCAAGCGCGATATCGCGAGCCCCCATGCTGTCGCTGCCATTGCCGTCTAAGCAGATGATTGGGTGAATTACTTCCCGGTTTTGGGCCGTTTGTTGGTCTGGATTACCACCGATGTGCCGTGAACCGTGTCATCATGCGATCGAATGTTGTGAAAGTTGCGGGAGATTGACCGGGATGGATTGAGTGGGACGCCTGTACTCGAGCAGTGCTTCCAATTTTGTTTGATAGTGTTCTGTATTCAATGCTATTTAGGGCGTTTCGCATGTATCAGTTGCATAATTCTCTCCAAGGCTTAAACTGTTGTTTGTAGTCACATGGTTACGTGACTGCGTGAAGATGAGGATTAACCTTGCCTGCAATTGCGAGAAGTCATCTCGGTCTGACACTGTAGGGGTAACCATATATTAAGTCATCTAAAGTACCCTGTGTATTATTTGCTGCTGTTCGTTCTGGTTAAATATTTCAAGTGCCTTCCAATCTATTTTAATCTCATGAACTCCTATCCTTATCGATAGTATTATTTCTCTATTGTATTACCACAAATGTACACTTACTTATCATCATCAGGTATGGCTCCCCACTGATTAAACAAGATAATAATAAACTTGTCTAGTGAATATATAATCTATATATCAATTTCCTACACCTCCAATAGAGTCCTCAACACGTCGGCCGGCGTACGCTTTGGTGCAGCAAGCTCCAGCACTTCCTTGCTGGTTGTAGAGGCCATGGACTTCCCTTCCCACGACGTCACTAGAGCATATTTGATAGACAATATAACGTTCTTAGATTGTTGGGCTCCCAGGGATCCAGGGTCGACAAATGAATCAACAAACGACATGTCTTCATAGCTCACATGTTGAACCTTTGTACCGATATGCTGCTCAACCATATCGACGATCTGGGCCCCGGTGACGTCCTCGGGACCATTAAGCACGTACTTGGCTTTGTTGTGCACAGTAGTGTCATCTTGGGACAAGAGTAGAGCTGCAAAAAGTCCAATCTCATCGGGATCAACAATGCCGACAGGAGCATCTTTGGACGCCATTAACTTCAAAGTGTCCTGGGTCCCAGTCTTGCGGTACTGCTTAACAAACTCTGCGGCGGTAGAGAGGTAAAACGTTGAAAAGCTATTGGCCTGGAGCGAAGTCCAATGCAGGTTGCTGAATTCTGGTGAGCTCAGCAGGGCCTCGATCGCCCAATGCGTGCGCGGATAGTAGGCGTCGCAATCTGGTCGAACGTTTGCCGCAGCGGTCGAGATCCGTACGACGTACTTGACGCCAGCTTTCAGCGCAGCTACATGGAACGTTGATTCTTCGGCGAATTGGCTGGGTGCATTGTAGGATGCAATGAATGCCCTGACTACCTCGTGTTCCCGGAGCCAGTCGGCGGTGATTTCAACCCAGTTCTGCTCGATTATCTCGACACCGGGCACTTTTGCGAGCTGTTTGGCTATTGGGTTATCCAGGGAACGCGTGAGACCAATGACTCGGTGGTCAGATAGGGTCTTTGTCGTTTGGAGCAGCTTTGGCAACGCTTCAGTAACACTGCGGCCAGTGTTACCAGTTGCACCGATAATCAGAATTGTGGGAGCCATAGTACAAGGAAACAAGGATCCTGTTTGACGCTTAATAGAGTAACATATGCCAGAGTATCGCCCAAGAGCGGCGGCGTTTATGGTGAATTTATAGGCTGCTATGATCCTCCAGAGGCTAGAAGTTGCTTAACGTAACCGGTAAGCCAGCCGCACCTTCTGATTTCCGTAGAAAACCGTCGATTTGAAACAACAATGTCTCACCTACTATTAAGTATACAAGTTTACAAATGGATTATATTACTAATACCGGTGTTTCTTATATATTAACCGAATTTAAGTAAAAAGGAAGTCTTGGAAGATATATATCTTAACTATATACTATAAAATGTCCTCTAGTATATCTGTATCCAGTAACTAAATATTGAAAAGATCTTTTGGCTTAGGATATTATTATTCTAGTATATAATAAGCTATACATAAACTTTTAAGCAGACAGAATCAGGATTGGTAGAGATATTGCTGTGTATAATCGACGGTTTTCTATGGAAATCAGAAGGTGCGGCTGGCTTACCGGTGCGGGCCGCCTACCGGTCACGTTATCAGTCCGGTCGATGTGGATGTGTAATACATCTCTGGGTCGGTGGGATTTCCGGACCAATCGGATTTCCAGACCCAGTGGGATCTCCGTCGGATTTCGAATCCCTGGCTCTATTTGCACAACCCATCAGATTGACTTCATTCACAAGCATTCCCCAGTCCAGCGTGGCAACCGCGTCAGCTGTTTCAGTATTGTGAAAAAGCACTCTCCATAGCCCTACTGGATGAGAACTCTAGATCCGACATGAGCCCCACTCAAGAATTCAGCTGTGACTTTCCCGGCTGCAGCGCAAGCTACTCGCGGAAGGGGCACCTGAATCGCCACAAAGCGCAGCATGTCCCACAGCGGTCATTTAAATGTCTAGTTTGTGGTCAGGGATTCGGGCGAAAGTAAGGAGACCACTCTTGGCCATTCGATATGGATTATGTTCCAACCATAACCTACTGCATCTAGGGATATACTCCGTCGACATGTGCGGCAGAGGCATGCAGGAAGTGAGCTCGCGCCGTCTATAAAGCAAGCCTGTGTAAATTGTCGTAATTTCAAATCTCGTTGTGAAGGGGGTCCACCCTGCACCGGATGCCTTCGTCGCCGCATGCGCTGCTCCTTCAATGACCAACCCAGCCATCGTCCACGACCGGCTCTCGAGCCCGGTTCTTCCGGGAAAATACGGCACTTCCTCCAGTTGTACTTTGAGTCATTCCACCCACATTGGCCATTGATTCACCGGGGCTCATTTGACCAAAGCAATGAGACAACTTTACTTGTACAGTCCATGGTTGTCATCGGCATGTGGTCTAGTGGTGTGCAGAGTAACCGGTCCGCAGCAACCGATCTCCATGCAATTCTCAACTCGGCTATTTATGAACAAAGGGTTTGTCTTTTTAAATCTTCTGCTTGGTGAATATGTTAATAACCAGGAAACCTACAGGAGGTGTGGGACGCTTCTATTTCCGAGCATGCATCGAGCAATTGCTCATGGCCCATTTCGATGTACCAGGCCATTCTACTTCATATAATATTCTCATTAATCAGTAAAGGCAGTGTATATCTTGGGTTCGACCTGAAACCTTCTCTACCGGCCACTGATCTTGGTCTTCTCTCTTCCTTGGTGCTGAGCTGCAGAACACTAGGCATGTTTCATTATCCAAATATGCTTGCACGGTACCACCCGGGCGACCTAGCCGACTTTGTTTGGGTTGGGATCGAAGAGGTTAAACGTTTTGATCTAGCTTTGTTCCGAGTCTGCAAGTCTATAAGCTTAGATACGGGCAGGACTCATCTAGAGCATCATCATGATATTTCAGGGACAAACTGGCAGGTCACTGCAAGCGAGCTACAATTTCCGGTACCAAAGAATGACTTGATATGGAACGCTGTAACTGCAAATGAGTGGAAATCTGCTACCACGGAGGGCATGGAACGCGTCAATCTGAGTGACTCCATGCAGTCGCAGTGGATCTCCAATTCAACAGAGCTTCTGCAGCTGACCTGACCTGGCCGTTATATGGCGCCACTACGTTCCAGACTAAGGATCGTTTGGGCTTTTGTTCGTTTGACGGAGGCTAACTGGATTTGGAGTCCAACATCGTCATATAATGCCAGATGTGCGTCGTGAATGGTCCATGGCAAAGTGGCTGTTCTATCTTTGCGATGGACGCAAGTCAAGTTACGGACTCAATGTGAGAGGTCGAGAACTGAGTGGGGAAGTGCCTAGATGACTACAGTACACTATTCAGAAATATGTTAAATGATCGTCGGAACTGATCCGAGGTGCTGTGGACTTGTACGGAGTAAATGTGCCACTCATTCTAGGGGCGAAGAAAGATTTAACTAGCTTGCTAAGGAGCCCCACTAATATCCCGGCGACGCTTGTCCGTCGATATCCACAATTAGACCCGCAATTTAGAAGCCGGCCGTTGGTCTAAGCTTTCAGTACCCACCCAACTTAATGCACAGGGTTGAGGCTTGGAACGAGGACCCTGGATGATAGATTGGCGAGGGGATTATCGACGTTCTCAATAAAATGTTCCTGAGAGATCCCTGATAGTGAATTATGATGTGATTATGTAACTCTATAATACAACTTTTCTATAATACATTTTAATACAGGATATATCGCAATCGAAAGGTCAGATAAAGAAGTACCGCGTCAAGCAGGATAAGAAAGCCCCCTTCGTCGGTCACCGTTTAGCCGTGGTTGTCACATTGATAGACATAGTCGATGGTAATCTGACAGCCGTCTTCCCGGTAGAACGAGCCACACTTAGAGCAGCCGCCAACTTGTCGGATGTTCTGGTAGTCATTCCAGAGGTCGTTACCACTGATGCTGCAGCTCTCATCACCCTGGATAAAGACACCGCAGCCCCGGGTCTGGTCACCCCAGCAGTTGCCAGATTGGTTAATTCCGGTTTCATTCCTAGAGGGGTAAAAGTTAGTCATGGCAATGTAACAATGACGGACGGTAAACAAGGGGATGGGGAGGGACTCACGCAGAAGTAGCAAAGTAGGAAGTGTCGTCGTTTCGCTGCAGGGTGTTGACGGCGTGGTCGCACCACTTCAGAAAATTGGGGGTCGTGCACATGGACGAACCCTTGCAGGTGTAGTCGCTGGGGTCAGGCTCGAAGACGTTGGTCAAGGGGTTGTAGCCTTGTGCCTGGATGACGAACTTGCTTGTATCGATAGTAGATGTTCCAAGCGGCAAGGTCCACGTATAGGTATAGTCCTTGATATCCAGAGTGATGGGCCCCACCACTGACCACGCCCACGGCGGGGCTGTAGAGCCTTCGGGAAGTGTGCCACTGTATTTGTATAGCGTGGTGCCCTCGACCATATAGTGAGTGCAGACGTACTCGTCGATCTTGAAGTTGACACTCCATCCCGGATCGGTGTCGAACTCACATCCCACCGAGTTCCAGATATAGAGGCGGATGAAAGCGTAAGGAACAAGAATGTCAGCTTGGATAGTGGTCGAGTCTGCCCCTGGAGAGGAGTGGTAGTTGGCAATGGTGTTTCCATTGGGCAAGGATTCGGTGATGACCGCAACCGTACTGGAAGCGGACCCAAGATTGCCCCCTCCTCCCACTGCACTTACGTGGAATGCGTGCCTAGCTCCGGGTTGGAGCCCGCCAATAGTAATTGTAGTCATTGAGTTAGGGACGCTGGCAATAACGCTATCCCCCGAATACACGTAATACCCAAGAGCATTCAAGGCCGCGTCCCAGGACAATTGAGCAGAGGTATAGTCTGAGGCCAAAACTGACAATCCAGACACCGCTGCTGCAGCGCTTCCTGATGTCCAGGATGACGCATCAGCGTTGAACGGAGAGCCACCCTCGATTGCATCCATCATGCTCTGGACGTAGGAATCGACGGGAAGAGTGTCATATGGGTTCGGCAAAGTGTCATCTGTGAGCTGAAGGAAGCCAGCACCACGCTCCTTAGCTAGTTTGGTGACCTCACCAACCGCGGATTCCGGGACGTTGTATACGATGTGCCATAGTTTCCGCGGGTCCTTCGGTGTCCAATCGTTGGGTGTGTAAGAATTAGTGTACGCCTCGTAAGACAGCTCGAAAGTCAGCAGTGTGTCCATAGTATCCTCGAAGCAAGACGCCATGGGTGACCCAGGATTGAGGACTGTGTAGGCGCCGGGATGGGTACGCTTGGTATAGTCGTTGATATATTTGTATAGGTCCACGTATTCATTGTTGTCGCCACATTCGGGCCAACCCTCGTCGAAAAAGATCCCACCAATCCTGCTACCATAAAGCGTGTACCACATATCGACGTCTTCTTCAATCTGCGCGGTCCAGTCTGCCAAATCTCCTGAGCCGAGCCGAGTGGTGAATTTCTGATCGCTCACACCAAGGTACCCGGTCCGTACGTAGCCGAGGACAATTTTCCCAGAAGCCGAAGCTCGATTAATCACATCAGCCCATGTCTTGTCGACGGCAGAGTCTGGGCCATTCACGACATTGGCAACCAATATGGGCATCTTCTCGAGGGGATAGGTAATAAGTCGGTCCCAGGCCGCCGGGTCTGCGAGCGGATTGATGTACGACGCCACCGCAATTTGTTCTAGACGCAGGTACATCACACTAGTCCTCCCTTGTTTCGCGTGGACTGCAGAGGTGATACGTACGGCCATCTGAAGCATTTGAGCCGGACGAAGGAAAGCGAGGACACGAGCCGAAGGACAGCTCCTCTGGGATTGCTGGAAACCCATTATCCTGCTCATTCTTATTGACCATTTCATAGATCACCAGCTCGGCAATGATCCGGTGAAGCAGGATCTGGGGATGAAAGACACGCCCGTACCTATTCACCACCACGCACCGGTTAGCGCAAAGTGATCGTCCGGCGTGACAGGATGAACACTTACCCGTCTGGTAGGATATTTGGAATTCCGGCACTGCTGAGCTCTACCTCGTCATAGGCGGCAATAGAAGCAGTAGCAGCGTCAGCGATCATATCCTGGTCTGCTAATTCGGCGTCTGTGTCCATCAGAAGTGTGATTTGCGCTAATTGATTCACGGTGCCCTCGAATGTTCCTTCCAAAGGGTAGTCTACGCTTCGCTTCCAAGGATTGCCACCGATAAGGTCCCAAGTGCTAAGCTCGTAGAACATGAGACCGGTTCTGTTATAGTTTGTTAGTACACCAGATGAGTGAGCCTCGAGCACTAACCTTGTATTGCTTTCAGACGTTGATTCGTCGACGCCGTCTTCACAAAAGCGGCCGTTGAATTGGCCGACGTAAGAATCGTAATCTACAAACTTGACTTTGTCACCGGCCCTCTTTACTGCAGCCAACTGCAGGGCAGTGAAAGTTAGCAACAGCCTACCAGATAAGAGGAGAAGAACCAAAACAAACAATTTGTGAGTTGGCAGCATCGACGAGGTCGTTCATTATTTTCCGATGATCTTTCGTAAGTTTCTCACTGCTTTGAAACGGCTTCTTTAGTTTCTGGTCGACAGTTAGTGCCAGGATAAACGTCGTTTTCATATGCTACTCACATAGATCCAGGTTGACCAGCTAACATCATCACACTCAGATGATAGATCTTCGGCAAAGAATTTTGCATAGCTGTATAACCACTGTCAACGACGCTAAAAGGAAGAAATTGCATAGCACGTACCCAGTGTAGTAGATCATCCCACTGTATTTTGGTTAGCGTTGAGGCCTGAACGATGAAGGATTGTTACTAACTCTGATGCTAGCTTTTCTTTTGCGGCCTCGATAACGGAATCCAGCCTCATGCTAAAGGCATCTCCATCGATGATGTTTTTTGTGCGAGTCAATTGTCCATCGCAACCATAGCCTAGCGAGTCCCAGTCAAAGGTCTCCGCCCATGTATAGTCTTGATTTGCAAGCGCCGCTGTCTTGGCCTGATTGACCTGAACAGCCTGTAATGCAGACCATTGAAAGATACACTGATTCAGGATGTTTGAAAGCTCAGCGTCATTACCACCTAATGCCCGGTTCATATCAGTTTAGTCCATCGAAAGGTGGCTGGGTATATATACCGGCTGACAGCAATATAACCTGCTGGTTCCCGCTGATGTTGGGGATCTGGTCGTTGATGACATCGTTGATGACTGCACCAGAGCAGGACTTGAACTCAAACGTTCGTGTACCTGGATCCCCTAGCCGTTCATCGGTATTGATGAGATAAGGATACGCGTGGTCATAGCGACTGCACGCCCAGTCTTTCAGCGGCGAAAAATATCAATTAGTGAATGTGGTACAAAAGGGAGTCAGAAACGGATTGACTTACCACTAGTCGAGTCAAGTGCGTCGAGCACACTTCCAAGTCGGTCACCCGCACCAATTCCGGCCGAGTAGGAGTCGCCGATGGCAGCCATTCTTGTGATGAAGGAAAGATCTGTCTGATCGAATTCAGTCGTATCTCTTCCCATCAAGCGCTCGGTGTTCAAGCTTGCATTTCCTTGCACATTCCAATACCCAAGAGGATTTGCAAGGGCGCAACCCGCAAGGGTAGCAATGGCCGCCAGGCCATGCCATAGTTGCCCGTGCATAGCGAACAGGGGACAGGATGGAGGAAGAGAATGAGGAGGAGGAGGAAGCAGGACCTTGGGGAGATTGTAGCAAAGAACTTCAGATGAGGCAGGAAACCTCTTTATATATAACGGTAATTGTGAACTAATAGTAGCGTTACTTAGTATATCTGCGAGTCTTCGACTATCGTCTCCTATCCATGAGGACAATACCACTCCTTTCCTCCTTGCTACCCTCGCATCCGAGATTGACCCAGATCCACCCGTTGTGGTAGCCCGAATGTACACTTTCCTTTGACATCAAATGTTGATATCGGTTCATAGTTGCGGTATTTACTGAAGTGAGACAAAACAATGATTAGGAAATGAGAGATCCAGTAGCGTGGAGTACCAGTCGCCCAGTAGGGGTCCATGCATCATTTGAAATTGCAATCTATACGTTGAAAACATGGGCTCTAGTGTTTAGCCTGGTCCCCGGTGCACAACCGCACCCCTAGATACCAGATTTACCAGCATGCTGCCAAACCCATAGCTGCTATCAAATTTACTATGCACTGGAACAGGTGGGGCGCCAAGAATATCCGCCACAGAAAGTCAAGAAAGCTTTGATTACCAACTCCTGCGCCGCAGACACTAAAGGATCGGTTCAGGAAAGTTCTCAACACTAGACTGATATAGGAAATACATCATTTCCGAGAGTGCCGAGGCCACTGGTAAATGTCTCAGGTGTCGGTGAAAGATTGATGCCTCTAGCCCGAAGTAGCTCGCGATAGCTGTGCGCTATGCAACGGTGGATAGGGCTAGGGTGGCTCCGGCTCAGGAACTAAACTGTCACTTGCACTAGACTAGGCTACTTTCCGCATGGCACAGACTTATCTCCTTCCAAACTCGGTTAGTGTCACCTGCTAGGGAAGAAAACGTCGTTTGGACCCTTGGGGGGTATAACCCTGAGCGGTCCAAAGGAATCCGTAACTCCGTGGCAAGCTAATAGAAGCTTTCTTGGCCCTCCATGGCAGTATTGGCAGAGGCCGTCGGTACCTCTGGATAACTACAGTTAAACCTCGCTATAACGCGATAATGTAGGTGAAATAAATACCTCCAGAGTAGCGGCATACACATAAGCAACCAGATACACACAATTCAGAGAACCTATTTCGAGGATAAGTATAGCTGGGCTACTCTAATATCAAAACAGTACCACTGCACTAAGTAACGGAGCTATGGCACCACTTGGGTTATAAATTTGTGCGTTTTCTGGTTGACATTTGATTAGTACCCACTCACATGAGACCCTCTCCCATATCACGAGATCGCGATTACGAGACCTATATGGCACCCAAACTGGCAAGCCTCACGGCGAGAAGCCTTGCTAATTTCAACCGGAAATGAACTGAGATGAGGTAAAAGATCTCGTAATATTAATCTCATTATATCACCAATTATTACGGAGCATGGTGAGGTTTCTATTCTGAGGCTAGCCTAGTCCTCAAAGGAAGATGATAGGAGATTTCCAACACCAAATGGAACCCCTACCTCGCTAGTACGAGTCATTGATAATATGGATTTGGCTGAGGCTTTATCAGCAAGAGTACCTCCTTTCCAGGAGAAAGCCTTTGCCGCTCAACAAGCCTTGTGAGAGAACTATAAATACCTTGTAGAGTATCGTCCTAGGTGAAAGGGTATATAAAAGGTCTGGCTTCTACGGCAAGACGTATTTCCAGCTCAGCATTGGTTACAGTCAGCCCGATACCTCTCCTTCCATGATGCTGTTCCCCTCCGTCCGAAATGTCGGTCTTTTAGTCCTAGGGACCTTGATCGCAGTCAACCCTACACTCGGTATTCCTTACGATGTTTCGGAACCCTTGGACCCGCTTGGCCCGCTCAGAGTCACTCTTGACTATGGCCTTGCGACAACGTGGCCGAACCCGCAGGACGTCCACATTAACACCGTCCAGCGCAATTGGCAATATAGCAGCCACATTGTGTTCGCCAGTCGAGTCGGGGATTCGGACGAGAGTAACCCTCCAATCTCAGACGGGCAGCTTTGGCAAATCGCGCGAGATGCCGTCGATGAAATGATTCGCGATCGAATCCAGTATGGCACGAGAGACCGTGCACAGCCGGCTGCCATGACAGTTCTAGCCTGGGGAAATGAAATCATTCTTGCCTCCTCTATGAAGGGAGCGGGCTCTTTCTCCTATGACTTTCTTGGCGGCGAGACGCCGGTTGGCAGAAGTCTTCAGCAATGCCAGATAGTCTGGAGAGATATCAGCCTACCTGACAAAGATAAGACACAAATGCACAACAACAACGGCAATTGCGCAGAGCCTATGGCGGCCCATTTATACTATAAGAATAATAGAGTCAACTTACAAGACCAAAAAGCGAGGGTTGGCACATGGGTCAACGGGGTAGACGGATGGGCAAAGACAGATCCATGTGGATCTAACACCCAGGTAAGTAATCAATGTCCTCGTTGGAGTATCCTTCTCAGAAATCAACTAACAACTAGGTAGGACTTTTGGGGCTGCAATCTTTTTACTGCAAATCAAGGCCTGAAGGTCTTAGATAGGGACACGCCGTCAGAACCTTATACACTGGCCAATATTGCAGGAGGACCGACTATTCAGGACCAGATTCAGTTATGCGGGGGTCAGCCAAGAGTATTTGTGGGCTAGCATAGGACTAGGTCTTAGAAATAGTTTAACATTGAATCGTGATTTAAAGAGATATCGCTGGCAGAAACACCAGTATCATAATGGCAGCTACAATTCCATTTCACCTGGCCTCCAACCTTCTCGCTCAATTACTTCAGTCTGGATTCCAGCCGGGGCACCCAGGTCTCTGAACACCTGTATCATCTCAGGGTGCCAGTCCTGCACTGGGCACACCCTTGACAACAGGCGAAGTCCTTGGAGGCGAGGTGTGGATGTCTTCCAGTCTTGCAGCCATGATCGGAAAGCCCCCAATAGATATTCAGTCTCGAATTCCCATCCCCATTCATACTGCATACATAGATCGTCAGTAACAGTCAGCCATTGGATGCTTTTTGGAAGCGCTTCCTCTAGACCAACCACATTTGGTGCCGAGGGAGAAAGTCCAAGCAGAAATGGAATCGGAACTTCCAACTTCTCAAGCATGTGGAGTTCGCTAAAAGTTTTGAAAGACCCGCTGAAGGTGAGCTCCGGGCGTTCAAGGTCCCCTTCTAAGCCGTGTGATCCTGCTGTGATAGTCAAGTCTGTCAACGTCTCTTTAACATGAGACAGATCCGCGGCGATTTGATCCAAATCGATAATATCTGTGACAAAATGATCTTTAAGGTCCGGGCGGTAGTACCAATCCCATTGAAGCTCCCGAAGCCCTTGGGTGACTGATAACACTTTTCCGAGGTGTCCTTCGCGCAACCCCGTCAAGTCGAGCGATATGAGTCTCGATGGATTCGGTGAATATTTCCCAGGCCACATGAAAGTAGCGGGATTATCCACTAAGACCCGTATCCGTTCAACCGACGGCAGGTAAAAAAGGGAGAGAGCGTCTGCTGTGTTCCTGACACCCGTGTATTTGCGAATATCGATACCTGGGCCAGGGTACACGGCTGACACATCTTGGAGACCTGTAAATGGAGGGAGATCGCCATCTTGAGACTCATCGCAGAGGGCCGAACGGAGCATCATGCCCATGAAGTGGCTCTCTCGGGCAAAATTCTTGCCCAGATAGAGACCTCCCAGATTAGGGAGCCGTGATAGTAAAAGTGTAACAAACGCGTCCATCGTTCCAGCGCGCAACTCTCGGGTCCATTGCTCAGCATATGGAACTTGAATTCTTCCGATGCTTTTCACTAGTTCGTCCAAGACAACTTCGGTGACTGGGAGTTTAGGACTTTTCTGTTTATAGTCACGGGACCAGCGTTCAAAACAATCTCCATTGAGGATCACAGCATGCACAAAACTGGCGAGCTCGGGCCTGTGCACAATGCTTCGCAAAAACTGGGCGATCGGAGGGTTCCGAGACTTTGTCCATGTCCACTCAACACGAGCGTAGAGCAATGGCTCGGCAACAGAGCGCCAGCTCCTCCGCGTAAGACATACGGCGTAGAGATCACTGGGTGATAGGGGTGCGAATATCATGTGTAATAGCTCCGGGGGGGTGTTAATAACAGCGGAAACCATTTTATTTGATTTTTCCTGGTCTTTCAAGGAATACTCGACAAGGCATAAAGTGATGCTAGAGGTCTGATGCCAGTTAACGAGCAGCAGAACAACGTGAACTTAACTGTCAACCATTCGCGGGTAAAGGATTTACAGAATTTCCATACTTACTATTAGCGCGGACTACTAATTTACACTAGTTAACTTGAACTTTGGTTCGTTAATCTCGCGGTACCCGCAAACCCACTCTACTAATTAGTTCCATCTACTTACAGTGGACCAGCCTGGACAATTTCCCTCATGTTACTACTCCGTAATAGCAATGCACTATTACTTATACTAGTCAGTTAGACATATCAAATAGGGTCCACTTCATTATATTATATCTACCAATTATAAATCGTTCACTAGTCAGCCAAAATGTTCGGGTTTATAAGCAGTCCAAGTACCTAACTATGAAAAGATGGTATCAATTTTGCAATATCACCGCTTTGGTATATATCTCACAGGTCAATAGCATTACAAGATGGTGATTAATCTTTCTACACAAGCAGTATTTCTACTATTCCCACTCTTTTGTAACATTCTCAGGCGATATTATATACCATGTACTAGTCTTAGAAGTTATTCTTAGCGTTAAAATAGAAAGTGGTATCCTCAACGAATAAGTCACGCGCTAAGAGCTCTGCCCAACAACATTATATATATAAAACGTAACTACTAATGCAGAAATACACGGCAGTCCGTATTCGGGGGTGGTCATCAGTCCCTCACTCAACAGTACTAATCGGCTGGCATTCTTAATGTTTAGCGAGTCGAGTATTAGTAGGAAGATAGCTCTACATCGACTAGCACATCTTATGGCTCGAAACTGGTTATGAAGAATTTGGACCGGTTAGCTCGCAAGTACAAAAAACTGTAGGCCTTTAAATGAATGATAATAGATTAGGTTGCAGACTCTCAGCATCTTAGAAATTCGCTCGCTGCATACAAGTAGTAACGATTAAAAGGGTAGTTGGGCTTACCACGCGGCCATAGAGTCCATGACCACTGGGTGGAGATGGGGAGAGTGGGGTATCAAAGCAAGTGGTGATCAGCCACGTCGGCTCCGTGAGATGCACAGGGGTCTCTACCCCGCCTACTGAACCAAGAAGGCTACATTCAACCTCATCTCATCAATCTCAACCGTCCTCTGTCCAACAATCGCACGCTGAGACAATCATTCGCCCTTGCTAGCCTAGGAAAATTAGCAAAATGCGGCTGACCGACTCAGTTGGTTGGAAAGGCCTCAGAGCCCTTAAGATCCATCTCACTGACCGACTCTCGACGTATACGAGGAGCTCATCGGTGGGCGCATGCATCACCAACTCGCATAGCGGAAAATGGCAGACCAATGTCGCTTTCTCCGAGGCCGATTTGCGTTATACCCTCACAGTTGTGCCAATAGTACCCGCTTCCCAAGTAATAGCTATTCCAAGATCGCCGAAGTAGCGCAGAGCCTACTAAGCACTCTTAATGGGATGGTAAATGAGGATCTCACCCTTATTATGAAACAGTTATTCAGTCAACAATCGGATCCAACTGTGAATGAGATCATAGGCTCCCATCACATTGCCGTTTTTAGTGACACATATCCCCGGTTACACTCTCTAATCAACTATTTAGAGTGCTCCTCGGGTTTGTTCAACCTGGCGGCTGGCCCAGGAACATTTCTGTCCACTTTTCCCGAAGGCAAAATTAGCAAAATTACACTAGACCTGCTTGACAGATGGAAAGCACATGTGGGGCGTTCTTCGATGGGCATAGAGACATCACAAGATTTGCATCTTCGGACCATCTAACGGGTGGAAGATTCTACCAAGCATCAACGCATACGACAGACGCGGGCAAGTGTTGTTATTGATGCCATATTCAAAGGTATTTAACAAAGAAAATGTGCAGCCCCCCACGAAATCAGGTTGAGGGTATCGGACGAGTTGCAGATAAGTCCCGACCAAGCCACGTTGGACATGTCCATTTCCTCCTGTGACGAGCAAGTGTGGCAGGAATCCAGATGTGACTCTTTCCAGTAAGTCGTGTTATCCACGGCATAGCTCTCATGCTGACCTTGATAATTTACAGTTGACAGCCTAGGAAAGAACAGTATATGCGATGCCATTCACCGGGCGAGGGCTAAGGATAACATTCTCTTCATGTTCACCAATCAACAGAGGTTATTCGATATCTCGGACCGATTGCCCCCAGCAGCATCATCTCTTGATAACCCTCCTGGGGAGACGCTTGATAAGCTGCTCAAACACGGAATGTTAACCTAAATCACTATTCGAGACTATTTGGCAGAAACGGCACGGGTAAACTCTTTTACTCAGGATACTAGCACGATCAGGAGTCTCATCACCTTTCATGCGAGGAGCTCTGGTTGGATAGCATGTATCTAGTACAACGAGAGCGCCTCAAAGTGAAGCAGAGACCGGAGAACCAAGGGTACAGCAACGAAGCCCAGGCCCCTTCGATATTTATTGGAAGCATTGGATCCGGCGATACAGTAATGAAGTCGAATGAGGACCGCGATAAGATTGCCAAGTCCCATGGTCTCATCACTTTCCAAATGGAAAGTGCCGGCCTGTGAGATAAAGTTCCCTGCATTGTGGTGAAGGCTGTTTGTGATTATGCCGACAGCCGTAAAACAAGGCCTAGCAAGGCTTTGCAGCCGACGCGGCTGCATCAACCACGAAAGCAGTGATCCAACGGTACTTCTAAGTGCAAGCTAATCATGTACCGCAATATCGGCTTCCGGGTTTGATTGAGGGACGTTGGAATCCTTTAATGATGACGCCCTTGTCTGTAATAAACTTGCCTGACGTCCAGTATTGGAATAAGCGCATCTGAAACACATGTGGGAAAAGCCTCCGATGTCGAAAGGTTCTTTCTTATCTTGAATTTCGCTTGCAAATGATCTCAAATCTTAGTCGATTTAACTGTCTGATGATGCCCCTTTCCCCAACTACACTCAGCTCCCAATTACAGTCAAACTACGCCTCGCGATTTTTGTTGCTTGTGTAATGGAAAACGAGTCGATAATGGTCACATGTTAAACGACACAAGCGCTAACGATTCCAAAGATAGTGGAGCTGCTTTTTGTCAATGGAAAGGATAGTGCTGCGACATCACACATAAGGAGAGCTATCTCATTCTTCGTTCCATGAGAACCGCCATACCGTGAGCGCCCTTTCACCTGCTTTTCGCAGATTGACCATCGAAACAACAAAAAAGAGAAAAACATACAACAGGAGGGATTCGCTGGTGGTCACCCACCCAACTACTAACCTCCCGGCGTGTGGCTTAAGTACGGCTGAGCGGACGGGAAGCCCTGTTCTCCACACCCTATGGTCGTATGTGCTAGCTTTCTAGTTGCAAGGGTTTATATAGGAGGAATAACACATTCTCTTATCTTTCCTTCCTTGCTCCTCTTATGGAAACGGCCTAGTCTAGTTAACTATACAGAGTAGACGGGCTCCTTCATAACGCACTACTTGTATAAACCAAGACAAACTAAAGCATTCCCGCAACTGGACAACTCCTGTACAAGAGCTTGCCATTTTATATACTTATATCGGTTGTTCAATGTCTCTCTTATCTACCAAAGCAAATTCACCGGCTAAGGTAACCTTTACGTGCTTCGTAACTAGAAACCTCCGTTCATGAAGATGATATGTAGTATTATCCACAGAATTTCCCGAGTACTGAGCCCCATATTGCTACACACAATGTACAAATCTATCTGGGATTGGATTCCATAGAAGGCTCATTGGCAAATTCGTGTTGTATGATCCATCGATGAGCCTGAGGCCAACATTCAGCCCTACAATACGTTTCAGTTCTCCAGTTTACAAGACACTCGTGTTACATTTAGTCGGTATAGGACAACTATCGATCAACTAAAGTCTTATATCATGCTATGGTTGACGAAATCTGTCCTGCGGAGTAACTTTATTCTATGAAACAATGTACTGGTTTGTTTGAATAAGACAGTAGATCATAATTATATATCTGAGTTAAAGGGCAAAGTTACAACGAATGTTCTGCACAACATACATACTTTGCCATTCCTTGACTTTCGAATTTATGGTAACATGCTGAGAACAGCTATTGAAAAGGGGTATTTGGTCCGGAACAGCTCCCTTACTCCATCCACCATATCAAACACACGATGGCCTTACCCTAAGTCCATCGCAGAGGAAACTGCTTAGGCGACCTGTACGACCTCCCCCGCACCGGTCTTGCTCTCCGTTTCCCCCATGCTGATATGCTTGTGGTTCGCGCGAACGTCGTCGACGAGCGCATCCAGCTTGGAGTTGCCAGGCTTGGTCTGCCAGGGCTTGGGGCCATTCGGGGAAAACATCTCCTCGATTTCCTCGGGGGTCTTGCCGCATGTCTCGGGGTAGGTGAAATAGAACTGGATCGCGGCCAGGATACACATGACGCCGAAGACGACGAACATCTTCCAGGTGATATTCTGGAATCCGGGAGGGATGTAGAGACCCAGGGCGAAGTTGAAGAGCCAGTTGCCGATGGCCGCGATACCCATGCCGGTGGCGCGGGTCTCGAGCGACCACACCTCGGCCGCGTAGACTCAGCAGACGGGGGCCAGAGTGAGCGCGTAGATGATGATCAACAGATACGAAAAGGCGATGACGGCGTGGGAGCGGGATCCGGTGACTCGAATCACGACGTTTTCATTTCCGCCCACGCCTCCGGGGAGGTATTCGCCAGACGATAGGATGCCGCCCACGACAAAGTAGCAGCAGCCCAGGGCCAGCGCCCCGTAGATCAGAAGATGGCGACGGCCTGCCTCCGTGGAGCTCGAGTCTACTTAGCTTTTATACAAAAGACTGCCTCCGCGGAAGCTGTCAGCTGACTAACCGCGCTTTAATCTTGGATTATTAATGCACCCATCCGCGCCGTGGAAGAACAATCAGGAGAGATCAATGTACAGCACCGCCAGATGTATTCTGAGTTAGTTCCAGTGCAGATAGCGAGGTAAGGTACTAAATCTCAGTTTGGCTAACGATAAGGATTCTCATCTTGAGGCCTCTAAATTGCAGAGGGCCACCATGGGACTTGATATGGGATACGGCAGGATTATTTGACAGACTGTGTGCTAATAGACGATGTATAGGACGTTTTGTCTAATGTCACCGATTTGATGGTATCTGAATCACCCGATTCCACCATCCTTCGCCAGTTCATTTTCCGAAAAGCCTCGGAGGTCATGAAGATAGGTTCCGAAGCGCCCTGAGATTTCAATTACATCCTTTAGATGCTCAAAAGTGAGAGTCGTTTTCTTCCATTTGGCATGTTGCCGAGCGGCGGTGATAACGTTCCTAATTTGGCGTCCATTTAGTTTCTCCTGTTTCAGGACATCCATATTCTCGCGTAGATTATCAAAGTCGATATCTTCGTTAAGGCTCTCGAGTCGATCGATAAAGCTTTGCCAGATCTGACATCTTTGGCTGGGACCCAGGTCTGGGTAATGTAGGGCCAGCTGAATACGAGAGATGAAAGCTTCGTCAAATGTGCCTACCCGGTTACTTGTCAAGATAAGGATTCCCTCGTAGTACTCCAACACACGAAGGAAAACAGAGACTGGTGCGTTGCGCTTAAGGTCTTCTAGGCTTCGCTGCTCGAGCAAAACGTCGGCTTCATCGAGGAGAGCCACACAGCCCCAGATGCGCCCGAGATGCAGCACGAAATCTAAGTATTTCCCAACTTGCTCAGCCTTGGTGCCTACATGTCCACAGGTTACACGGTGAAGAGGTTTCTTGCTATCTCTGCGACTCCCTCGGCTGTCAGTGTCTTTCTAGTCCCTGGTCCGCCATGGAATAATAAGATTAAGCCGTTACCTTTGCCACTAATTAGGTCAGTGGGTTCCTCTTGTTCTAACTGACTGGCGATGAGAGCTTCAATGAGGCTTTTAGCTCTTTTCTCGATGACGAGGGAATGGAATGCTTCACTGTTCCATCTCACGTCGGAGATATGATCCACGGCAAGATCATTCCACGCCTTTCGATGGAGGTTGTAGCCCTTAGTGACGGGCGGAAGGAGATATTGAAAGCGTTCCTCGTCCCGGATTACATCCAAGCTGAGGTCGGTTGCTGTGCGTCTCACAGAAATGGCATTGCTAGGGTGAAGAGTGCGGAATGTGCGCATAGCAATCATGTATCGGTCATCCGTCTGGAGTCATTAGTGTCACATACCTAAAATATTCCCAAGGAGTAGAGGCGGGCCTACTGTTTTACTACATTCGTCATCGCCAGGCTTATATGAAATAATGTTCTTCGTGCGACATTTCCAAAACATCAATCCTCGCCGTTGGAGGATATCAGTGACTTCCCTAGGAGCATGGTGCAGTGGGAATATGTTCATATTGGCAATGGCGCTGACTTCCTGAGGAGCATCCGCCGACATTTCAATTATTAATAAACTACACTCCCAGAAAAAAGTGCCGTCGAATTGCAGAGTCTTGGCTGTTAATGTTCAGGTATATATCATACGCGATTTCTGTGGCTGGAGATCACTCGGGCGCTCTAGGATAGGTGGTTCATCTTTCATCTCCCCTATAGCGCCGAATTCACCTTGGAGGCCCTCGAGAACAGGAGCTAAATCAATACTGTTTTGCTTGCCCGCGGATATTCACACGGAAGATAATTCTTGCATTGGGGATAACCAAGATTCTGCAATAAATCCTGTGTAGTACTTGCCTTTTTCTCGATCAGAACATCCCCTGATTTAACCAGATATTGGACATATGCCGGCACCATTTTACTAGTCTTTGAAAGTTCATCTGCCGCATGATATTCACGCGCAAATGGATTATTCACATACCCCAAGAGACGCTTAAACTGATTTGAAGCTTTGGGGGAGAAAAAGGATCGGACATCCTGTTGGTCGTTCCGGCTGTGATAAATAAAGAGGTATGGCGCATCAAGCTCGTTCGCTTTCAAATACTTGTTGAGAGTCTCTCTAAACTCAGCTTTTCGCTGCAGTACCACTTTTCAAGCTTGTTTCAGATTACTTTCGACTGGAAAAAATGCTTTCAGCCACTGGAGATGGAAGATGGAGCTGCTCAATAGGTTGGGAGCAACGCCCCTTTCTATAGTCAAAGCGAATGGTTTTGGATAGGTACGAAAGACCACAAATGCTATGTCTGGATGTCTCATAAGATTAAGCTCGAGACTATTGACTTGATTCCGACATCTCAAGTAAGCAGCATCTGCTTTCTCTCTTATCATCTCTGGTTCATCCTCAAATGAGACATCGTGATCTATGGAATCCTCATCCCGGACATCCCGGAGGCGATAAAGCACTTGTATTCGTGGAGGTTTATGTGTTGCCTCATCCTTAGTAGACCTCTGGAGCTGTGACTCCAACTCGATGACCCGATCGCGTAATTTTTGTAGTTCATCAACGGCCTCAGTTCCGTTGCTATGATCCCCCGAACGACCATTGTTGCTGGCCGCATCTGAAAGCAAGGCATTCCTCATAGTAGCATTGTAAGACGACTTGGGAAAGGAGTTATGTTCTGGGTGTATCTGTACTATCGATGTACGATGATGACATTTCCCCTCGGACTTTATAGCCTTTGGACGCTTATGGATGAGTATAGGTCGGGTCCGCCCAGCTGCGTTCGTTCCTCTTGTAAATCACGTGGACGAGGCTGAGCATCTCATTCGCTTCAATACAATTACGCCAGGAACTTCTTGCATTCAGACTTGCATTGAAATATTGCCAGGTTGATGCCAAGGTGAGTATAATGGAAGGTGGCCTGCCAACGACAGCTCTGTCACCCTGGGATTATGGAGAACGGTGAGTGCCTCTCAGAAACCTACTGCTATCATGCATACGTATAAGAATCAAGTTCAAATTCGATGTGCTGGCCGGGCTCCTCCGTTCCTTCCAGGTTATATATATGATCGTGCAGCTGGAAGCTATCGATCAAATTTATACAGAAGAGTTCCTTTCTTGCCTGCATAGCCTAGTGAGAAAACTGTCCGAGAGTGGTTCAGCAACTGTGCTGAGCATTCTCCTAGTTAGCTGGAGTCCAAAGAACCCCTTGAGTGCAGAAGGACGATCCCGGTCTCTTCAGTTGTACATGCGGGGACAGTCTCGACGTTGGGGGCACTTGATGCCTAGTCGACCTCTCTATGTGCCGAGATAAATTTGTGGGGATGGAGAGCCCTAAGTAAGGGGTAGCAAATAGTTTTGTCAACCAATCCTTGTGTATCTGGCAACTCCCAATCTCCCACCTCCAACAGCAAAAGTGCTACGTGACCATAAGGATGTTATCGGTGCTCTCCTGAGTTGCAGGTCATCAAAAGGCGATATCTGATCCATCTCCTTCTCCACAGACATTAACTATGTGGCTGCTCTACCACCAACAATGGTAATACAAGCTCAAGAAACAATACAAAACAGGAGGGGCTGCCAATGATGATCGGAGTATGCAAACCACAGCCTATGATTCGGAAGATCTGCTGCCGCCAGCCTTTCAGCTTCCTATTGCGGACTAGAATTGTGCCGGGAAGGATCCTCTTATTGACACAGGGATCCTTCCAGGCAGTGCCCAGTGCGCAGCAGCGTAAGCGATCCAATAACACCCTCGATGGCAACTGCGAGTATGTCGTGAACATGTTGAAGCGGGGTGATTCAGTACTTGGATTGGTTTTGCGCTGCACCGGGTATAGGCTCACCATACGTGGCGAACAGTTGGCGATTATTGGACAGGATCAGCCAGGGTCAAATAAGACTGGATGAGGCGTGAGGCTGTCACTCTGCGCATGTGATATACATTTCATTGCAACTAACTTCGTGATGCCCATGGCTAGTACGTCATATAACCATCGCCCGATTTCTCTGTCATCTACAATCTAGTCTTCTATCCACCACTTCAGAGATCTCTTACCACATTGACGCTACCCGCGGGCCAACCAAAATTTACCAAGCTAGGGAATCATGGCGACAGCGGAAAGCCTGCTCGACCTCGCTCGGAACGCACGAGCAGAATGCAACACCGGCCAGCGCAAGTTCAGCACTGCGCTTCCCGCCCTGGACGCACTGGTGTCGGAGCTGGATTTCTACAAATCCGTCTTGCGCAAGCCCGTGAACAGCGGAGCACTGGTCAACCTGGAAAGCCATCTGACGCCGTGCGCGGGGGCGTTGAACACGCTCTTGAACATCCGGCGTAAGTACCGGAGCGAGATGTCGACCATGGAGCGAGTCAAGTGGAAGTCGACAGACGGCGAGAAGTTTACAGAGGCAGTCAACCGTCTCCAGGATGCAACCAACCTGCTACGAGGAACACTTCGCATGACGAGCGAAATGCAGCAGTGTCGCACAGCGGAGAAGAAACCCAGTGTGGTCAAGGAAGCTGTGCAAGAGACTACGAAAGCGAAAGAGAACGCAAAGGCTAAACCTACGCCTTGTCGCAATGGCGCCGGATGTCGGGCCATGGAGTGCAAGTACAGCCATCCTGATGCGGAGCCTTGTCGGTATGGAGCTGGCTGCACCAATTCCAAATGCGGGTTTCGCCATCCCAAATCGCGGGCCTGCCGCAACGGGGCCGGATGTAGGAAGTCGGGCTGTACCTTCTCCCACCCAGAAGCGCCCGACTGCCGGTATGGGGTAGGATGTACCAATGCAGCCTGCTCGTTCAAGCATCCTCGTGTCGCTCCCTGTTCGGCTGGCGTCAACTGTGTGGCTCAAAATTGCAATCTCTTCCATCCCGAAGTGAAACCGTGTCGGTATGGAATCGGGTGCACCAACAAGAGCTGCACATTTCGCCATCCACCACCACCCTATACGAAGGAACCAACCACGTCCGTGAAACCGGTCGACGAGAAAAAGCCCAAGGCAAAGAAAAGCTCCGCAAATGAAAGTCCGGAGAAAGCGAAAAGGAAGCCCAAGGTGAAAAAGCCCTCCATCATCCCCGAAAAGGAGACGGCCAGTTGACCTGTCACTGTGCTATGTATTCCTGCGCCTCGTTTGTGCGGGGTTTTTACGTTATGCGACGTCTAGTGTCCCAGTTGTTTGGTATGATACGAGATTAGCCGCACAAGTTTTGTTAGTAATCTTTTCCAGAAACGCTATATAGTAAATCTTTGGACTCACAGCAGACATACATACATCCATGGCCAAAGAGTGTAGCCACAGTCAACCCAGGGAAAAAAAAGACATGTATAGTCAGTCTTACAATCTGAGGAATCAACTTAGCCCGCGTTAGTTGAGGAAAGGTAGATGATGGCCTTCCCAGAATAGTCCAGACAACGGATCGTCCCGAAGTTGAAGCTAAAATCTCGTATCTGACGTGGCCAAGCACTAATCTGTACGAGAAGAACAAAATTGCGTCTCACAGCCTAACAAGCGACATTTTGATTGGGAAAAGGCCGATCAGTCGCAGGAGCCTGATCCAACAGGAAGAGGGGCTGTCCCGCGTGAGGGCGCGGCTGGCGATCAAGTACGAGGCCTTTTCTCCATCAGTTCCTGGTCGTTTTCCCTCACTCTGCATCTAGTTGTTTAACAACACAATGGCCGATCCAATTGGGGTCGCTGGATTAGCCCTTTCCGGGATTTCTCTGTTCTTCCAGGTCTATGCGGGGACGGTGCAAGGAAGGTCCAACCTCCAACGAGTGAAGATGGGCGAATCTAACTCGATGTGATATACAGGTATCCAGCTGATGCTGGCGGCACGTGATGTACCTGAGCAGTATCAAAGGCTGCGGTATCGTCTGGAAATCGAGCAAGGGAAGCTTCTGAGTTGGGGCCATAGCTTCGGGTTACTGCGGGAAGAATCAGAGGAGGAAGATGGATTGACGATTTCCATCCCCCAACATGTTCGGTGCTTGGTTCAGGGATACATTGAGCCCCTGTGGCAAAAGGTCTTGTATTTCACGACAAAGACCCCCGGTTTTGTCCCAAAGGACAAAGGAGAGGAGACACTGAGCGTGTATCATAGAGGCATGGCGCGACGGTTCCGGCTGGACCACATGTACCAAAAGGCTAAGCAGGGAACGGTTAGACTCAGGGACCGTATCCATTGGGCGCATTGGAAGATGGACGAGCTGCAAGATTTGGTAGAATGTATGATACATGTCAACAACAGTGTCATCGCCCTAACCGAGGTGAAAACGCAGCAAGAGATCCAGGAAACCGTGAAAGCGACGCTAATGGGCTTGCTTAGCCTACAGGATACCGTCAATGGACTGAAGGAGCTGATGATCGCCGTCGATGAGAATCGTCGTAATAGCCAGCCATCACAACTGCCGCTGAGCGAGCCGGAGGATCTCCTCCGAAAACTGGCTGAGTTGAAAGAAATGCGATTGCAATCGAGACACAGCAAGGATGAAGGGAGTCTTCAAGCTTCCTTGAAAATCTCGCCTGAAAGAGTCTGGCCTTCGGATCAAATGAAATAT